TTGAGCCCCCCCAGGACACGAGGCAAACAAGGCATCCACCTGGGTGTTTGGGGCGGCTTTTTTTTCCGCCCCCTGCAAAGTGCCACCCAAGGCAAATGCCTTGTTTGCCTCGTGTAAGGTACATCACTGGGTAGAGTAAGCATTGGGTAAGTAGTATAGTTGGTATAACCTTAGTGTGGGGGTTGGTATAGGGTTAGTGTTAACTAACAAAAATGTATTTACATCCTAGACGTGTTAGGCATTTAAAGGGACAATATAGTCACCTGAACAGCTTTAGCTTAATGAACCAGTTTTGGTGTATAGAACATGCCCCTGCAGCCTCACTGCTCAATCCTCTGCCATTTAGGAGTTAAATCCCTTTGTTTATGAACCCTAGTCACACCTCCCTGCATGTGACTTGCACAGCCTTCCATAAATATTCCTGTAAAGAGAGCCCTATTTAGACTTTCTTTATTGCAAATTCTGTTTAATTAAGATTTTCATATCCCCTGCTATGTTAATAGCTTGCTAGACCCTGCAAGAGCTTCCTGTATGTGATTAAAGTTCAATTTAGAGATTGAGATACAATTATTTAAGGTAAATTACATCTGTTTGAAAGTGAAACCAGTTTTTTTTTCATGGCCAGGGGAGGTGTGGCTAGGGCTGCATAAACAGAAACAAAGTGATTTAACTCCTGAATGGCAGTGAATTGAGCAGTGAAATTGCAGGGGAATGATCTATACACTAAAACTGCTTTATTTAGCTAAAGTAATTTAGGTGACTATAGTGTTCCTTTAACAATTAGGATATATTAATCTATTTTGATTTCCTCCAATTAACTTTAGCCCCACCTGCTACCCTAATGCTGCGAGCCAATGAAGGCCATAGAAAATAAGTCACTATCCATGTCTCTATTTTGAACAGTCCAGATATCCTTAGTAAAAATAAATAGGTAATGTCCGAAATTCTTTCTCAAAGAAAACGAAGCATAAATAAAGCGTGCTGTAACAGGACTTTTATTCATTTATTTATTTTTACCAATGTGCTATGATTTTGACAAGCCTAGTTGCTCTCAACAAAGCTTTTACTAACAACCACCAACGAGGGATGTATGTAGTATGTACAGTATGTATGTTGTAAATGGACATGCTGTGTATGTTCTATGGTGAGGGGCTCTATTTGAATCAACTATGGAAGGGATATGTATGTTGTGTGAATAGAGAGGCTGTGTGAGTAATGTGTGTATGTACTGTATGTGGAGACTGTGCAAGCTGCATACCTTCCAAAAATCTCAGGTTAGACAGAACAGTCCCACGCATTGTACAGCACTACGGAATTTGCTGGCGCTATATAAATAATATTATTAATAATAATATTCAGGGTCCTATTTTGCCATAATACTCATTCTTTTTTGGGGGGTTCTTGTGATCTCCCCATCGCTACAGGTATGACCCTAGCTTATCTAGTAGGGTGCAGGTTACGTCAGCAGTCACTAAACACATAAGCAAAAGTGTCTCAGATGTACATCAGCAGTCACTAAGAAGTTAAACTGATATGTCTTGGTTTCCACAAATAAATATGTTTTTTGAGTCAGTCTCAAAATGAAACAATATTATGATCATCATTTCTCTTCGAGCATCTTGGGGAGCTCTGGCAGATCTCAATACAGACAGATAATTTTCAGAAGCCCAGATTTCTGCAATGTCTGCCACGGCGTGACCTGAGCCTCCAATTGAGTATTACATTCTGAGTAAGGATAAGTCATGGGTTAATCCAAATCTGTATTAGTCAGCTCACTCAAGAAGGGCTCAGCAGCAGTAGCTAATGCTGCAAAAATCACCTTAACAAAATAACAATTAAGAATACATTTAAAATTTGCTGGAATAAAAAGCTAAACAAATAGACATGTACAATTAGTTTTGGTCCGAATTTCAGAAGTGCCAAACCGAACCCCCGAAGTGCCAAATTTCGGAAGTGCCAAAGTGCTTTGGATTTCTGAAAAGTGGCAAAACAGGAGAAGGAGGGAAAATTAAGGGAATGATGACAGGAATCTAACCCCAACCCCTAAACCTACCTCATAACCTAACCCTACCCCTAACCTCAACCCTAACCCTAAGTTAGGGGTAGGGTTAGGGAATTGCAGAAGTCCCGAATTTCATAAGTGCCGAATTTTTCGGAAGTGCCGAATTGCCGAAGTCTCGAATTTCGGAAGTGCTGAACCAAACTTTTTGCCCATGCACATCCCTAAAAACAATTACCTAAATTTAATAAAAAGTGTGTATCTTTATACATTACCAAGTAACAGGTTTATTTTACTACAAAAGAAAGCCATAATGTGTATAAACACTGTCACACTCAGGCCCCATTAGATCAAAGTTTCAGCATATTCCAGGGTGGGTGCCCCACACTGTGAAGATACATGAACACATGCTAGTGACATTTTCTTATTGCGCCCAGATGTGGGTGAACAGGGAACAAACCTAGGATGGCAGGATAACAACCCGAATTTGAGACAGACCAGTTGGTTCAGGGATAGTTGGGAGGTATGGTTTAGAGGGACCCCCAGTTTCTTCGTCCCATTTGTTGCTTCCCCTAGCGGTTGTCCCAAACTCATTGTGGGAAGGGGCAAGTAGGTCAGCAACATCTAAGCATCTCCAGAGAGTAAAATAGGTCTTGATGTACCAGCTTAATGGCAAGAACAAGATCCATGCCATCATAACTTACAGCCTACTAGCCGTCAGGTACCTAACTGGGATAATAACCTGGCCAATAGAAGTTGGACACCATGAATATCAAAACCTGGAAACTCCTCACGATGAATGAATGAAATCTAGGACTCAGAGAATTTACACTAGCCGGAAGGAAGGAGGGCAGGTATTGGCCAACTAACTAGACATCGTGGTGGTAAATAAGTAACCGAAAACTGCAGTGGTGGTGGATGTGGAAATTCCCAATAACCATACAATCAAGAAGGAACATCAGATGGTGGACAAATACCAAGGACTGAAAGAGGAGCAGGAAAGCATGTGGTAAGTGAAGGCAGTAGTGGTCCCAGTTGTGATAGGAATACTCAGGGTTGTAATCCCCAAGCTGGGAGAGTGTATTCAGCAGATTCCAGGGACATCTGAGATCTCTGTCCAGAAGAGTGCAGTTCTAGGAACAGCTAAGATACTGCGCAGAACCCTCAGACTCCCAGGACTCTGGTAGAGGGCTTGAGAATGAGGAATACACACAAAAAAAATACTACCCAGAGAGATAAGAAAGTAAATAATATCTATGGCATAGTAAAGTGAGTTATGAAGAGCATCTCAAAATGGGCTTGAACCCTTAAAGGGTTGCATACCTGCCAACTTCGTGGCGTGGGGAATTGGAAAAGGAATCGGAAAAGGAGACAGCTTACCTGGTGGGGACGGCACGTAGCTAGTGACACAACTTTTGTGTGAGTGCCTGGCACCAAGCATGCCAAGTTCACAGACAGCCTCATGGCTGACCCCTGCATAGAGGACCTTGAGCACTGCTGATATGGCCTTGCTGCACAATGCGAGCTTTGAGGACTGTACTGTTCACGTGCACCAGGGAACAGCAGGACAAGAGCCTTATATTAGGACCATCCTGCTGAAAGCGGGACAGTTGGGAGACATGAGATTACTCCAAGCACATGACCACTCCACTTTTTTGCCACTGGCGGCACGGCCACCCCACCATGTTGCCCATGTTCTCCTCTCAATTGACCCTCCCTGATTTCTGTCCCAATTTAGCATGTGGGAGTATCAGGCTGCAGGGAGAACTGGACATTGGTTTAAAGTGAGTTTAGTGCTTTTATTTATTTGTCGTATTCTGAGGTACCAGGATAGAAAAAAAGTTACACTGAAGAAAAAAAGTGTTTTTTAAAACACTTTTTTTTCTGGTTGGAGTTACCCATTAACAGAACACTATAGCGTTAGGAATACAAAAGTGTGTTCCTTATGCAATAGTTTCCTTATGCACTAAAATGATTGTCTAAGGCCCCCTGCCAAGTAAAGGGTTAAAAAAAAACAGCCACTAGAGGCTGACTTAACCCTTTAATGTAAACACCAGAGGGTTAAAGGGCAGGGACACTGCAACCAGACAACTTTAATGAGATCAAGTGGTCTCGGCGCTGGATCGTGGTCCTCCTTCGCCAACATCCACGCGATCTGGGATTCTAACACGCGTGTAACTAGTAGCATTAGTCCTTGCCCATAGGAAAGTATTGACTCAATGCTTTCCTATGGGGTTTTCAACATGCTGGATGTCATCACGCAAAGCGTGAGCACGTCAAGCGTCGGTTTACGGAGTCACACTCTGCGAAGCTGCAGGAATCGCCTCTACGGTCCGTCTGGTGGACAGTCTTAACCCAGCAATGTAAACACACTACAGCTTCTCTGAAATTACATCGCAGGGTTAAAGGAACAGACACTGCATGCTGAACACTTCAATGAGATTAATGGTGTGGGCGCCTGTAGTGTCCCTTTAATTAACATGTTCCCCCAGCATGTATTGCGAGCTGTGATTATTCAGTCTGTGCTGTATGCAGTATATAACATGCTGTATCTGAGATATATGTTTTTGTCTTTGACTATCCCTTAGTAAGTGTAGATCTATCACTGTGATAATCTAGTTATGGGTGGGAACAATTCTCTGGTTTTATTAAACTGATCCCAACGTTTTGTCAGTGTGTGTGATGACAGGTAGGGCTATGACTTGCATTGCTCTGCCTTCCAGGCTCACACACCCATAATGTAAGTAGGGTGTGTGTGTTTCCCACAGCCGGCCACACCCCCATAATGACGTCACGTATCATCTTTGCCTTCTACCCGAAGCCCTTCAAACGTTACACTGGTTTGACGGATCGACTCCGCCTTCCTGTATCTGCTCGACCAATCAATTGACGGCTCGAGTTGACGTCATACCCTTCATACTCTCGTGCCCCAATTCTACCTTCCAGTCCCAAGCCCAGGTCTGATTTAATAAATAAATAAATAAAAAAAAAAAAAAAGCAAGCGATAGGCTGGTCTGGTGGGCGTGCCTCGAGCTCGTGGCTCCTTGACGTGTCGAGAACACGCCCCCCCTCCCCTTCACGAGCGCGCGCTCCGGGTTATCGAAGGATAGGCACAGGCACTACTGTGCGCGCGCCCCCGCCCGCTGCACCTTTCGCCCACAACCACCGTTACAGTCTCGAGACACCCGCGGAGTGCGAGGAGGATTCTGGGTACACCCCGTGTATGTGCGGCAACAACATGTCCGCACCCCTGCCTGCCATTGTGCCTGCTGTCAGGAAGGCCACGGCCGCGGTGAGTAATCTCCCACCAGCCCCCCCCAAGTAATGGGGGTTATATTATAGGGTGTATTGCCCCTCCCCAATGCTGCTAATCTGTGCAGGATCCCCAGTGTCCCTCTAAGGAATGACTCCCAGGGTTCCCCACAGCACTCACACAGCCTGGGCTGGGAAGTTTGGGGAGTTCCTGGCAAAGTCCTCTCCATGCAGTGACCGTGTCCTGTGTTTGGGTAACTCACTAGACAGACAGCTAACTTGTCACCCACCATAGGGGGCCATGGCCAGGTTAGGACTTATTCAATAACTAGACAAAAATGGGGAAACAAGTACTGGCAAGGGCATTTCATTTAAGAAATCACGTGGTGTCACTTTTTGGGGTAAATGTTGAAGTGTACTGGTTTAAATATTTGACAGTAAAAAAAAAAATATATATAAATTTAAGTTTTGGGGAATTATTAATGGAATATAAAATTGTAAGCTGCAGAAGATCTAAGTTGGATATTTGTTTCTGTTTGCACATTCGGCAATTTTTTTTTTTTTCATATTTCCTGCATTGGTATGTTTTTTTTTGGGTTTTTTTTGGGGGTTTACAGTGGTTTAATTCTGGTGCTCTGTCTCTAGGCTGGAACCTTTTCCTAAGGTTCGATGTAGTCCCCAACAGCAGTAATTCCACTATCATTGATTAGAACCCTTTTATTTTGGGAGTGTCCCTTACAAGGTCATAAATGTATTAGCATGTGATTTACCTAAAAGTTAACAGCAAGATGATCCAATATTGCAACTGGGCAAGAAGTTTGTGATTATTGCAGAAGTGTTGGTTAAATCAGTTTTTCAAGTTTTCTTTGTGTTTTGTGTCTGTCGACCAAAAAACATCTATGTTGGTAGTATTTTGGCTGATTCATGTATGCAGGATGACTTACTTCATATAGAAGTCAAATGTGAATAATACATTTTTCTTGGACCTTTTTGAAAACTTGTGAACACATTACCAAACCCCTTTGTTCACATTGAATGATTAGTGTCTGATAGTTGGATTCTGTGCCCTTTGAACACCCACCTAGCGTCTTATGCCAATTTGAAACCTACTGTTCAGAATCAGATACAATACCTATTAGTCAGCCTCCTACCAATGTCTGCTCCCACGTTTGTCTGAAGCTTATCTTGTTCTATCTCTGCAGGCGTTCAATAACGACAAAATTCTTATAATGTTGTTTTGCTTCACCGTGAGCAGTCTATTCTGCTCTTCACATTACTCTATGAAAGCAATTGTAGACTCAAAATAAAATGTATACTGAAGACTGTTCTATAGTAATTTGATATTAGTTACAGCAATGCCTTGCATAGCTCTGCAATCAGAACTGTCTGTCTAATAATCTGTGAGCCATCTGCTCTTCCATTCTATAAGGCCTTTAATAATTTAGTCTTAACCAATGACATTTTTGTTGCACTGTGACCTTGAAAATGGTATTTTGATATTGTTGCTGGCTTTTGTTTAGAATCGTTTTGTATATCAGTTAATAAATGTGCTATAGTTGCATGTTTATGACCAGAGACTGCATATCTTTTCCCATACATTACCTTTAACAAACACCGCTCGTGTGGTTTCAAGATATCTTTATAGCATTTGAGATGTAAATTGCCTACATTTGTAATGTACTCATTTAGCAGTCTCGTTGTTCAGAGACTACCACAACAAATTTGTGCTGTGTAACTGTCACTTCTCAATCTTAAAAAGGACTGTTGGTGTTTAAATTAATACCTTTGTCTGTAATGATAAATCCGGATAAACTAAGTCGATTTGTTTTGGTAGAGATGCATATCATTCTGGCATACTCTTATTTATAAGTTATTTTAGGGGGGAAAACCCCAATTTTCTTCTAATATTTTGGTTTAATTTCCCATGGCACGTCTTCCCATTTTACTTAGACACAAGATGTCTTCTTAATCCTCCTGCTGGTTCTCTGTTCCTATAACATGTTTGGCTTTACTTTGAGCCATGGAAGAGCGTTGAGCAGCTCTTATGCTACACTTTCTGGTGATATTTTCCTGGTGTCCCATATTTAAGGCAGAATGGACTGTTGGGGGAAGGTATGTAGGGTAGTTGCTGTAACATAAAACATGGCAACTTCTTCTCATCATAGAGTTCTGTCAGTGAGGGTGGGGGGACCACCAAATCTTTAATATATCTTTATATGATTTTTCACATGGTTAGACAGACAAAAACTAGAGGCACCTTTGCTTCACTATCCGAATAAAACTGGATTCAATGCTTTCCTGTACTCTAAGCTGGAAAGATGCAAGTACACAAATAGAGAGGGTGGGGCTACTCTAGTGTGTATATTTAATATAGACTAAAAAAAGACTAGGGTCCACTCAACCTTTTTACACATCTGTTTCTGCTGTTGATCCTAAAGGGTCAGAAAACGTAATTCTTGAGCTCAAAATGGCAATTCCGATTTTCTCCTTGTGTTAAAAAGTTTTTGTCCACATGCTATTTGTATTGTATATTGTTAAACTAGATGTTTAATATTTTGTTTTGTTTCTATTTTAGGTCATATTCCTGCATGGCCTGGGAGATACTGGGTGTGTACATGTTTGCAAATATGCCTTGTTTATGTATTTTGTTTTTTAACCAGTCAACATATTTAATTTCTTCTATGGTCATCATTTAATTCTATATATCTAATACAAGCATGTACAAATACATCAAGAAATAATAGTATATGTGTGTATATGTATGTATGTATATATATATATATATATATATATATATATATATATATATATATATATATATATATATATATATATATATATATATATATATATATATAAAAAATCACTGACACCTGACTTAGTTATGTTTTTGACTTCGAACTTGAATCTTCATGATTGTTTACTTGTTTTTGGAAAACGGTTAAGTAGAACTCATGTCATTTTGATCTTCTATTTTCTTAGGCGGTAAGAAGGTGGTTGTAACATAGATGTGTAAAGTAACCACAAAATATAGGAGCCTTATAGCCAATGGTATGTTTTTTGTTGTTGTTTTTTTGTTTAACCGTGTGGATACTCTCATTCTATTTAGTATTTTATTATGAGCTTTGTTTGCACAGAGAATCATAATAGGTCTCCAGGCAAAACCATACATAGTGTTCTCCCCTGTTCTGCACAGCACATGGCAAATTAAAGGGGGGGATTCTTACCTCCCATACAGGTCTGTAAGGTTTTGGTGGGGCATGCAGGCTCCTCCTACTCAACATGGTGACTTGGCATTAAGTAGGAGGATCATTTTGTCACAAAATGGTTTTATTTGTTAGAAGTTATGAAGGAACAGAAACTCTTTATTCTGGTTAGATCACCTCACTGGTAAAAGTTCCATAGACAAGACTTCTAATGATACATATCCTTTTACCTTAAAGTGTCATTAGTTGTAAGCTTGTTTCAATAGTTGTAAAGTATTAAGGATTATTGAAGTGCTATATAAATGCTAATAATAAACATAGTTAAGAAAATAAATTCTGATTGTTTGCAGCAGTAGTGAAATATGACTTGCCTTTGAAACATCAGTAATGTAACAGGCAGTAACATTTCTTCTACAGGGATTGTTATATGCAAGAGAATCTGCAGTTCAGCCTAGGCGGAACAAGTCCCTCCTTCACCCTGGAATGTTTTAGACAATTATGTAAGCCCATTATCAGTTTTTCATGGTACCCAAGTGTATATTTTTTTTTTTTTTTTGTAGAGAAAGGTGTAGGTTTAAATATCTACTGCCCATTTACTTATTCCTCAGGTAACTTTCCAGCAGCGATGTACAATATTAGCGCCTATATTTCACACATTTGACTATACATAACAACTTTCCAGCAGCGATGTAATTACAAGATTTCTAATACTCGCACAATAAGCCTAAAAGAAAAGTGGTTTGTAACGTACTGAAGGTAAAAGGAATTGCAATCCTACATATCTTACAGAAGCTGGAGAGCTACTTGTTTGCCATCATTGATCTGTGGTGTAATCAACTTCATCAAAATATTCAGCCTTAAATTGTTGTCTTGATATTTTTGCATAGTTCTAAGTGTGCATTATCTTTATATTCAACAGGCATGGCTGGGCAGAAGCGATGGCAAGTATCAGAAGTCCACATGTCAAGTACATCTGCCCACATGCGTAAGTTTTGTTTGCTCTGTGTTGCTGTGCAGAATTTTAAACTGGAAATCATGTGAATACATACAATGCCATGTATAGATAATTCCCTGCCCCTCTCTTTTGCACATATACACATTTATGCTGATTAACATTTACTCTGCAGCTGAAAATCCTCTCCACAACAATTCTTCCAGCACTATTTTTCACTGAGATTAGAATGAATACAATACTGGCTTTTATGCACATGTAGCTTTTTGCATTTCAAAAAGTAAAATGTTATCATTGTGTAGAGAACCTTTTCCACATGTTTGCTTTGTCTTCCAATTTTCAACAGTAGTTTGTGTTTTCCTTATAAAAATAAATAAAATATGACGAGTCAGATAGAAATGGTATGAGCTAACTTATGCGAGGGAGCTGAAAAAACAGCACTGTGGGTCTGGGAATGTTTCTTTGCAAGCTTGCTTAAGTCTTTGAATGTTTTGCTTGTCTCAATGTTTCAGTGCCAGTGTGAGTTTCTGTATGATGGATTAGCAAATCTATACAGTTTGTTCATGACCAATAAGTAAATCATGCTGTTCCTCTCGTGGTAAGATTTGTTTTGTTTGTTTCTACAAAAAGGAAACGTTTTCATGTATAGATAATAAGCGCGAATAAAAAAAAAAACACATTACCATTGCGTGCTTTTTTTTATTACATGGGTGCTTGATTTGCATTTTTACATTTTTCTTTTCCTTTTAGGCCCGTCATGCCAGTCTCCCTAAATATGAACATGGCAATGCCTTCCTGGTGAGTATTGATGTGCTGTCATACTTTTTTTTTTTATTATTATTTTTTATTTTTACCACCTAGTTTAAACAGAGTTTTTCGTATTCTTGTTCTAGATAATTATTAAATGGTGTATTCAATGTGTAAAGTTCAGTTTTTTGTATGCAAAAGTATGCATACAATGTGTATGAATAGTGTGGTAAGCATTGAAGTGCAGTTCCTTATTTTTTTTCTTTCCCAACTTTCATCTTTATTGAGTTATCAATAGTTTAAAGAGACAATTATATTACAAGTAGAATGTGTACAGTTCCATACAGTGTGCAATAATAGGTTGACAGTTGTCAAAATTCCTGTAGGAAAACAATTGTCAACATTTCTTTGTTTTCCAAAATAATAGTAAATCATACTGGAAAATCTACTGCATTATAAACAAGAATATAGACCTTGAAATAAACAAATCAAATTATACCCACTACTTGTTTTGTTTAATTTAAACACTGAAAATGGAAAAGTGCAGTTATTTTTAATGTGAACTTGAACCTAGAGTCGATGCCGACAGTCTGACGTGAGGGAGGGATAGTGCGATTATTTATATATATATATATATATATATATATATATATATATATATATATATATATATATATATATATATATATATATATATATATATATATATATATATATATATATATATATATTATTTATAGCTGAGTTATGGAAAGCCGTGACGAGTACCCTGTACGGATCTATTTTACATTCAAAACTGATAGGGTTATTCACTAAACTCCAAACTGAGGCAGATTGAATTGCTAAAATGTCACTAAATCGAAGACAGATACATTTTTCAAAAACTTTTCTCATTCAGTTTTAATTTCCTAAAATTCGGATGTTCGTGACTTACCCTGTGGGAGCATACTTTATGATCTCATCGTTGCTCATTTGCATTTTTCTAAAACTTCTAAGGCTAAATAATATGACTACCTGAAAATATGTATGGATTCCACCACGTCATGTGGCCATGTTGTGATTGGTTATCAATAATGCAAAATTATAGTTAAAGGGGAACTGTAGGCTTAATTTTCGCAGTGAAGTTATTGTGGTTCCTGGGTCCCCTCTTTTTGTGTTAAGGTGTCTAAAAATGGTTTAACCCTGAACAATGGGATGGTGCAACAAGACTCCAGGTGTCATAAACACTTGCATTAGATTAAGTATTTATGGTCCTTAGATTAGTCCCTTTTACAGTTTTAAAAATTAGCATTTTATATGTTATAATTAGGGCAATTCGTTGGTGACATCATGACAAAATGATCACATGATTGTTTCCCACTTCTCTCTTTAACCTTTTATTTTTTTTAAAGGAGAACTATAGGGTCAGGAACACAAACATGTATTACTGACCCTGTAGTGTTAAAACTACCATCTAGCCTCCCTGGTCCCCTCTTGCCTCCCTAAATATATTCAAATCTTACTTGTATTCAAGTCTGCAGCTCCTAGCTCTGCCTCTGTTTGCCTGTGAACTGGCTGTCTGTTGACCTCATCAGATGTGATGGTCTAAAACAATCACAATGCTTCCCTATTGGATTGGATGAGACTGTCAAGGAGGCAGAACGGGGCAGAGCCAACACAAGTCAAACAGCCCTGGCCAATCAGCATCTCCTCATAGAGATGAATTGAATCAATGAATCTTTATAAGGAAAGTTCAGTGTCTGCATGCAGAGGGTGGAGACACTGAATGGCAGTGCTGCTTACTCTGCAACACTGCCCCAGGAAGCACCTCTAGTAGCCATCTAAGGAGTGACCGGTGGATTTATCACTAGACTGTAATGTAGACACTGCATTTTCTCTGAAAAGACAGTGTTTACTGCAAAAAGCCTGAAGGGAATTATTCTACTCGCCAGAACAAATACAATAAGCTGTAGTTGTTCAGGTAACTATAGTATCCCTTCAATGTACATATTTCTGTTTCATTTTAATACTTGCAATGGGTTATAATTGTTGTAATGTGGATGCCTACTGTTTTCTTTTTTTTTTTTTTTTTTTAAATATATATAAAAAATTTATGTAATTTATTTGCATTTTTTTCCTTCTGTCTTCTAAGAGATGGCCTATGCTCCCAATGAACTGACTGAACTTTAATGCAGTGTATAACTTCACAGCTACTGAATTCAAGCAACAATCTGAGCGCTGTAGCTTTTAGCTCTGTTTTGTAAGAGCTTATTTTACAGCAACCCTCAGTGAATGTAGGCCAAGTACCAGTGATCCTTTCTTTTGGCTAGCTTACAAATAGTTGCCATATGCCATTGAATTTAATAAATAAAGCTATAGACATTTTTTGCAATATAAAAGTAAAATAAACTAAATCAGCAGTTTGTAATTGTCAATATCCTTTCCAATAAAAGGCTAAAAGTAAACTAAATTTACTCTGGTTTGTGTTTATTGCTTTTATATGTTTACTCAGAGGCTTTAAAAGTACCCAGAGATTTTCATGAAGCAAACATTTATTTCATAAATGGAAATAATTGGGGGGAGGAGGAGATAATAGATCAGCTGCCCCCCTAATGTAGAGCAGCCAGGAGTCCTGACATGGAGGACTCTTTCTTCTTACAGGACTGGCAACTGAAAATCTGTTACACAACTATGTGTGTGACTGTTTATGGGAGTATGTATGTCTGTGATTTATTGTCTGTGCAAAGCTAATGCACTAGGCTCAGAATTATTAAAGTACCGTATAGGGTTAATGCTGTATGTGCAGGTGTGGAGTCAGTGCTGGGCTATATAGATGTTTGTGTCTGTGTATATGTGTGAAAATTTAGTTTGAGATCCCTGGGTAAAGCCTTCTAGGATTAAACACTTAATGCAGACATTGTTGAGAAGGCACTATTGGATTCAGATGTGGAATATGTATTAACAGTAAATGTATTTTGTTAACCCCCCTCATTTCCTTACATGTAAATTTAACCTTATTTTTGTTTTCTATTAATGAGTATTGTTTGCTACTATATAGCTATTTTGGTATTTTTATGTAAAAATGCAATGCCCGTTAGTCAGAGGGAGCAGATTGAATATATTTTTGGTTAAAAAAAAATACGTTACCTCTACATGACATACACGAAATGTGATGTCTTTTCTTGACCTACTTATCATAGGAGAAAGACACGAGATCTCTTCAAACATGATTATAATCAAAGCCTATTATAATACTGTTTTCTAAAGCTTTTTTTATTTTGTTTCATTTCCTTGTAGTGCTGCAGCAGGAAGAGCAAATCTATCAGGAGACTTGCATATATCTACTTCCTCCTAATTAATTTTTAAATTACCTGATAATTAAAAATTCATACTGTCCACAGGGCAAAGCAGCCTTGGCGTTCTCTGTACACGCCAGAGTTTTAGAATTACAGCTCCTTAAGGCTTTAAGCACACACAATTCTGTTTGGTAATGCTATGGCTTCATTTAGTTGACGTAATAGACTGGTATGGATGAAGGTAGCTTAATTGTACCTGTCTGCAATTTTTACTCAGGGCATTATGTCTTAATTATCTGTGTTTTTGATGATTTTAGGTTTGACATATTTGGGTTGTCTCCAGATTCTCAGGAAGATGGTGCTGGCATCAAGCAAGCAGCAGAGAACAGTATGCATCATTTGATTACATTTTATTTATTAATTATAGTTTACAACTAAAGCTTTAAAGGGACTCTCCAGTGCCAGGAAAACAAATCGGTTTTCCTAGCACTGCAGGACCCTGCAGTGCCCCCTCCCCTCCCCCCCCACCCCAAATCCCATGTTGCTGAAAGGGTTAAAACCCATTCAGTGACTTGCCTGAATCCTAATGGGCTCTGCCCACGCTTCTCCCCCACTGGCAACGGCCGCGTGCATTAGACCTCCCCATAGGAAAGCGTTATTCATTGCTTCCCTATGGGGATTCCAGCGACGCTGGAGGTCCTCATGCAGAACGTGAGGACGTCCAGCAGCGTTTAAAACACCTTTCGTGTTTTAAGAACATGGAAGTCCCTCTAGTGGCTGTCTGATAGACAGCCACTGGAGGATTCAAGACTGCAAGGTAATTATTGCAGTAAAAATTGCAGGATTAAGAGGGATGGGAGTTGGCACCCAGACCACTCCAATGGACAGAAGTGGTCTGGGTGCCTGGAGTGTCCCTTTAATTTTAAGTAAAGGCAAGAGTTTGAAATGTTTGTTACGCCTTAAAGGAACAATATAGTTTCAGGAATACAAACTGGTGTGGCAGTTTAGGTCTGTAACGGATCACCTGGCACCCCGACTGGGTACCTCCGTTAAAGGATGCTCCTAGCGCTTCCTGAGGACTCCAAGCACTGCAGCAGACACCACAACCACCGAACCGGAGAAGCATATGAATCCTCCCAAGCATATGAATGCTTTAGACAGTTGAATAGGAACCATACGAATAGGTTTACTCTCCTAGCAGTCAAACTGGAACAGCATACAATAAATCCTTCCTCCAATAATGAGACGACACGTCACTTTGAGGGTTAAAACAGGAACTCCCTGTACTGTCACATACAGTCTCTTTTATTCCCAATCCACAAACATAGTACAGCCCACAGGGCGTTACAAAACAGCCAGTCAATCCATACAATACACCCAGACACTCCCAAACAAAATCCTCCCCTCTGCCTGTGATATGATTACTGAACACAATGGGTAATCTAATTATCACAGCCAGAGAAATACAGTTTCATAAAACACATCACAGGGACCCCAAAACATGCAATAACCCCATAAAAAGTATATCCTTGGAACTGGGGGATCTGGGTGAACCACATATCCAAAATTCACCCAGATCCGTTCAGTACTTTGGAAAATACAGTTTAATGCAGATTCTGCAGAACATATACAGGCTAAAGGAAAAACAATCACTGTATAATGTGTCCCCTGCTGTATAGTCCAAAACCACTGCACGATGTCTCTGTGCACCAAATACTGGCGAGATGGCACCGTGTTGAAAAGTCCAAACAGTGTCTGGGAGTTAAAATGGCCGCCATCCATTGTTCTCACCATGTGCTTCTGATACAGGAAATGGTGGCAACCCAGTAACTCCACAGTATGTCCCCAGATGGTTCTTAAAAAGGGCCAGCAGCAGCACAACACAAATCCATTATGCCCAAATCATGTCTTTAAAGGGCAATACATCCCAGGGGCCATAGTCACATGGCAGGAGGCTGGCAACCAGGCTTCTCCAGTGCATGGTGGCGAGGTTGGTTCCGCCACAAGGTCCCTGGCCCCGCTCCGATTGAGCTGAAAAAGAGGTTTATACTTGCGTTTTTTTTTTTTTTTTTTCCTCACACCACGCTGGTCTCTACATGACTGGCTCCACCTCAATGGTTGAGATCATCAGTCTTGATGTCAGCCAATCCAATGTTTTCCCATAGGAAAGAAAGGATTCCTCACTGCACTGGTGCTGCGCAGCATTTTCCATCAAAAGATGTGGAATGTAGAAGTTGAAGGGTTCCCAAACATCATCTTGTCCTGAAAATTGTTTTATGATGTTTGTAGAGCATAAAGTAAGCCTGTTCATTCATATCAAACTATTTTATTTTTTTAGTTAAAACTTTAATAGACCAAGAAGTGAGGAATGGGATTCCTTCAGATAGAATCATTTTGGGAGGCTTTTCTCAGGTGAGCTATCATTAATGCGTGTGCTTAAAATTTTAACTCCATTTTACTTTTAATGTGGTGTTTAACTTATTTTGTCCAACCATTTTTTTGTGAAAACAAAACAAACAAAAAAAAAAAAATAATATATATATATATATATATATATATATATATATATATATATTTATTATTTTTTTATTTATTTATTTTTTTCCTTGCATACTAATGTTTCAGCTATATGGGATACCTTATGTAAACTCATATTTATCAATCTGATCCATCACAGCTTTCTAAAGCCCTCTGCTTAGACACATGCATGTGATACACTGTGAAAGTGACATTTATAATAAGTATATAGTGTGTGTCTGCATGTTTTTTTTTTTTTTACTTTACTTTTGAGGACCACCCCATATAGTTAACTTACACTCAATATTCCTAATGATAGCCTGTGGCAATAGATAAAGGTATTCTCTGTTCCTACTGTAGTCAGGCTGGTAGATAAAGGAACTACATTAGAAAGTACTTTACAATAGATTTGTATTTTTTATTTTTTTTATTTGCATTTTTACAATTTGATTTTTACACACACTTAATGCTTCAATAATCAGAAGCAGTGAGCATGAAATGCATTTATGACTTGCTAGGCATGGATGAAGGCACACAGTTTGATTTGCAATTAACCGTATTCATTTTCTGCACGTCAGTTGTTCTGTTGGATTTACTCTTCTAATCTGCTACTTTTAATGATACCTGCAAGTTGTGGATTATCTCTGCTACATACAGTATTGCAAAGGCATATTGACAGCTCTTTTTAAAGTTAAAAAGGAAAAGAAATCTTTGGTTTTGGTCAGTGGATTTGCGTTAACATGCACCTGGCATAAAATAAATATAAAGTGGTGGCCCTTAGAAAACCTTTGATATAAACAGCTTGTCAGTCACATTTCTGAAAAGTATATCGAATAGGTTTTGTTTTCAATTGCAACTCGTTGTTGACTTTCAGCTATAAACTGCAATTGTAGGGGCTGAGTACAAATACTTGGGCACCCACAGTGGTAAAAATCTCTATATTCTAGGCGTTTTAGAATGTGGTATTTAGTATTGTGTGTGTGTGTGTGTGTGTGTGTATGCAATTTGTGTCCTGGATGTGCCAGGTTTGAACCAGATAACAATGTTGGCTGCTAAATCCTTAAAGGAACACTCAAAGCACCCAAACAACATTGGCTTACTTAAGAAGTTTTGGTGTATAGATCATTCCTCTGCCCCCTCAATGCTCAATTCTATGCCATTTAGGGCTTAATTTGTTTATGCATCCCTAACTAAACCTCTTCTCACGAAACTCCTGTAAAGAGAGATCTAATTTTTAAACTTCCTTTATTGCACAGTGTGTTTTATTTAGAATTTATCTCCTGCTAGGTTATTAACCTGCAGGAGCCTCCCCTGTGTGTTAAAGTTCAAACGACAGAGCAGGCGATCACTTTTAACGTAAGCACAGCGTGCTTTAAGATCTGGTTAAAAAAAAATATTTTTATGGAGGCTGTGTAAGTCACAGCTAGAGATGTGGTTAGAGCTGCGTAAACAAAAACAAGTGATTGAACTCCTGGATGGCAAAGATCAAAATAAAACGTAAACAAAACTTGGAATTTGACTATATGTCTGGTAAACCGTAATTCACCTCTTTTATATTAAGTGCACCTACACTTATTATATAAAATTTTATTCAGGAGAAATAGGGCTTTCATTAAACATCAAATATTTAGCTATGAAACAATTTACTATGAATAAAATATAAATAATGTGAGAAATTAAGAAATGTGTTTTTTTTTTTTTGTTTTTTTTTGTTCTGCTTGACATTTCAACTGTGAATGTCATAATACTGTTTGCTTTTACTGCAATAAATTACACACATTTGTATTCAGCGATGTCTCACGTGTGAAACATTACCCCCTATGTACAGGTTTTATGGTGTCTTGGAAAGTTACAGGGTTAAATATAGTTCTAGCAAATTAAATTCTCTGTAATTTCTTCCTGGGTTGTCAGGCAGGTCCTGCGAATTGTAATTAACAAAATGACCTAATTATGTAAAAATATTTCATAAATATATACGTGTGTGTGTGTGTGTGTGTGTATATGTATGTATCTGATCATTTTTAATGTACATCTAACTGTGTTTAAACTTTAACTTTATTACAGGCAGCAGGAGGACTACCTGTCATTCCAGGCACTCCCCCTGCTGGCACTGTTATGGACGGCTATTCCGTCCATGTAATCGTGAGGTCCTTGTGATCAGCATGCCAGGCGAGTCCCCCCATCGCGATTGCTGGTGTGGGATCGCCAGCGATCAGGTTAGAGAATAGAACGGCGGGGACGTGCTACGCCGCCCATCAGCGTTTAGAGCCAGGTCCCCAAGGACAGCATAGCACGCCTGCCGTCCTTAAGGGGTTAAGTAGGGGCATGGTCTGTACACAGAAACTCCTTCATTAAGTTAGAGAGACAATTTAGTCACCAGAACAATGACCGCTTAATGTCGTTGTAATGTCTATAGCATGTTCTTGCAGCCTTTATAATGTAAATACTGCCTTTTCAGAGAAAAGGCAGTAGTTACTGCCTAGTAACACCTCTAGTGGCAGTCACTCAGACCACCATGAGAGGTGCTTCCTGTGTCAATGCTGCAGTGTCCAGCATTGGCGTTCAGCATATCCATGCTCTGCATAGATGCACTGATTCAATGCATCTTTGAAGAGATGCTGATTGGCGCAGCGTTGAAATTGTAATTCCTGTAAAATTATCAGCCAATCAGACCTTAGTAAAGCTTTGGATAAGTTATTCAGTTTTCAATTTCCTGTACATTACTAAACAATTAAATGCATAATACACAATTGTTTAACATATACATCTTTTTTTGTAATTGTAGGAAATTATATTTCAAGGGGCACCATTACAGATTATCTTTGTGTAATGAGGCTAAAATGGTTAACAAAGCACTATAGCCTCACCCGTTTGTAACAATTTTTGAGTAGTTTAACAAATAAATGGTCTCTCTGAACATTTCTATTCGCCTAAGTGTTTGAAGCCTTTCATTGCTGAAATACTAAAACTGCACCCAAAGACTCCTTGCGTCATAACCTATAATAAGCTCCCGTAGTTATGTTTCATTGATTAGATGCATTGATATACTATACATTACCTATATTTGTGTGAATAAAATTACTTTTTTCTTGAATAGGGAGGAGCATTGTCACTGTACACTGCTCTTACTTCAACGCAGAAGTTAGCAGGTATTATCGCACTGAGTTGTTGGCTTCCATTGAGGTCTTCCTTTCCTCAGGTATTTGTGCATTATGGGTTTATATCTGTGATCTGAATGGGGATAGTTGTCATTTGGATGAGGCGGGGGGAGAGGGTAAAATATACACTCTTAGTTCCTCCTAAATGGAACTGCACATTATTGTAATAATGTCAAGATTGAAAATGAATCTTATATGGATGTATACATATGATTAATATTTGGGATAGGCCTGTCACATCAACATTGTGCCCCATTATTTTGCCAAAGTCAGGTATTTTTATAGGCTTCATGAAGATTAAAGATAGTTTTAAATGGTTTTCACTGTATTTTGTGTAGTGTCAGTTGGTCTCTACACTCCCCTTATTATGTAAACTTGTTCAGATAAGTCCTGCTTTTTGTAACACCTCAAGAACCAAGGTTATTCTTCATTGTAGGAGCAGGATATTGTTATTTTTATTATTTATAAGGCATTTTGTTCAATCAAAATGTCATTGTTTCCAATTTAGTGTGTCTGTCATTTGGTTCAAGCAGAGCCCGCTCTGCTTTGTACTGGAAGAATATGTGATCACGTTGGAGGTCCAGATAGGGAAACCCAACTGGGGTATTTTTGAACACTTTCCAGTGTTTTAATAGGCTGCAAATTGGTAGATTAAAATATATCCCTCTTACTCTAAAGCGAGAGGCAATGTTTGTGCTTAGTATTTCCCTACAAAATGCATACCCCAAGTCTTGGGGTATGCTGTGCCTCAGAAGAAAAAAATGAATTGCAAACCCTGTGGTAATTGATCCACTCTAAAGTAAACCTGAAACTAATTGCACCTGATTTTATTTGTGTATTATACTGCTTTTCAAAGTATAATCACAAATTATCTAAATTTATATATATATATATATATATATAATTTTTTTTTATTGGTGTTATTCTATGTGATATTTAATTTACCTGAGTGTGGGGAAAAATAGTAATCTTAAATATTGAGCATCTGCATAACACATAAATGTTGTCTCATAGAAATGTATAAATTTTCAATACACTTTTTTTTTTTTTTTTTAATGATTGTTTTCATTTGTATCTCCTAGGCTGCTGTGAATAGTGCCAACAAAGATACATCTGTTTTACAATGTCATGGAGAAAGTGATCCACTGGTTCCCCTCATGTTTGGCTCTTTAACCTCACAGAAACTGAAGACCATAATAAACCCAGTTAATGTTAATTTCAAAACCTATTCAGGATTGACACATAGCTCATGCACCCAGGTGAGCTTTATGTTTTCAAAAAAAAATTCATTCTGCTTCAGAGGTTCACCTCAAACTCTTATCCTTGATAAACTTCTATTCCCACCTAGGTCAGTTTTTAGTGATTTTGTAGACTTTCCATCGATGTGTCTCGGTTCATTTCATTTTAACTTTCGTGCACACATTTAATGTATACTTTCACCTGAATTCTAATTCTCCAGTTTTCTTATAATTTTGAACAAGCTGAATTAAAAAATTCTCCAGTTTTCTTATAATTTTGCACAAGCTGAATTAAAAAATAAATAAAAATGTCCTCTGCAAGATGTTCTGTTCCATATCAAAATTGTTAGATACTGTCAATCTTATTAAAAACAAAAATACAAACACAAATGCTCATTAACTCCATGCATTTGTCAAGCCCTCACTTTTAAAAAAATAAATAAAATGTATTCTTGTCTGAGCCATTTGTTCTTTATGCTGATAAAGGAAAGAATAAGCATAAATAAGGGATGAACTGTCTTTTAAGCCTAAGCTTGTATATTATGCCAATTGACAAAGTCTTTTTTATGAACCTTTGTTATTACTGCCAACAAACCTAATACTGTATTATTCTGCAACTAGTTAAAGCTTGTAGTTCAAGCTAATTACAATCACCACCATATCAAATTATGTTGTTTGTGAAATAAACAGGGTTCAAATAAAAAACAGTGTCTCTGTGAAACCTTATGGAGAAACTACAGCGGATAATTAAGGAACTCTAATCTAGATCAGTGAATTGTTTATGTAAAAATATATTGCACTGGCCTGTTTTTGAGCATGTAATGCATGAGTACGTTTTCTATTTGTTTGTAAAAGGCATTCAGAGAAGAATGATTCAGCTGATGGGGTGATTCCCCTACACATAATATTTGCAAAGGAAAACATAAGCAAACTGTCACATATAGAGACCTCTTTTGATTCTATGCCATCTGTGTTGATTTTTCCAAAGTTGTTTTCCTAAAAGGGACACTTTTAATCCCCTAAAGCACTTCAGCTTGATACAGATCAACAGCTTTTGCAACCTGTTTTTTTTTAAATATACCACCAATGAAAAAAAATGCATAATTAAATGCAAATCAGTTTCAGTGTCTTCTCTATTCAAGCCTTAGACTGCGAAGTAGCTAGAAATAGCTGACTGGTGCCATGTCCAAGTCTTTGGGTTTAAATATTCGTTAACAGTTCAACACCTTGAGGTAAGCCTCCTTGCACCATAACATGTTCATTCCAATAAAGTTATGGTGCCTGGATTGTTCCTTTAAAAAAATAAAAATAAAAAAAAATAATCAGGTCTGTTGTAATTATCAGATACTGCACAGAAGACCAAGGCTTTCCTTGGTTTTCTTGCTATTTAACAGAGTAGTAGTTGGACACGTTTTCTTAGCAAAGTTATAAAGTAGTAGTAAAGAGAACTGTATGCTAAAGTAAAATTTTTGTGAAATTAGGCATTTATTTTCTCAGCTGTTTTTAGGATGTCTAGTAAATGCTTGTAGATAAACCGGTCACAAAATGTCAAGCAGTGATCTTGTTCCATCCCCAGGTTATATGAACGAACAGATCTACATGGAAATGTACCATGTTTTTGCAAAAGTGCAGCTACAGACTCCGTGGAATAACAAAGGCAAATTGACATCTATCCAACAGTAATGCTTGCAATTGCTAAGCAAATGATGTTATGCATTAACTTGTATTTATGCATCACGTTTATTTAAACTGTCTTGTTTTTCAACAGGAGATGTCCGACATCAAGCAATTTATCGAGAAACAATTACCTCCTGTCAATTGACCAGCTCCCAAATGCCTTCCTGAAAAGTACACCAGCAGCAATCACTGTACTCTAAACCCTTAAGCAAGAAAGCATATTAATAATTGGAAAGTCATTCACAGGGGAGATAAGAATATAATTATGATGTATCTGTTTAACAGAGGCTGTACAAGACCGCTGACTGCACTGAATATCAAATATAGTGATCTATGGGTTGAAATCTTCCCTACAATGCAAGGGCTACTAAACCTTTTATTACAGATAGGCCTCTAGCACCATATAGCAGAAATATAATTAACTTGGCATGGTAAAATATTGCTGTACATGAGCACATAAACGAAGTTAATGGCTCATTTTGTATTTCTTTTACTCATGTTATATTTACTTTTCTGGAAAACGTGTCCAGCATATAGTTTTGCATTGGACGTAGGTTTTCTCAATATCCCTGGAAATTTGGCTTCTGTGCTATGTCTCCAATTGTTATATTTCTTTGAACATATGTTCTTTCAAACATACACACTCTTTACTTGAAAATTCCTTTTCCACTGATGGAATCTCAGTTAGCATGTGCTAGAGAAATAGGAGGCATTCTTGTCTCCTTCAACCGTGAGACATTGTAATCCAATTAAACTGCAGGTTTATTATGGATATTGTCTGGTGGTTAGAACTACACCTCTTGAAGCATGGTTTATGAATGATTTTGCTTCTAGAGCATTGGTATGTCAGAGTAGCCTAGATAATGACCAAGCTTACCTGCTTTCAAAGCTGAAGATTATTCAGGGGTATGTGATTAACTGCATTGCTGGGTATAAGCTTCTTAATTTTGTAGGTACCAGAAAATAACACGCAGAAATGTGCAAGACATAATAGAAACTATGAGACTGGGACTTTCAGTAGGGAGACAGATAGGTGAGCTTTTCTTTTTACAAAAAGGAATTAATATCACTATTTGGAAGAGTAAGTTGGATTTTGTGACAAGACTATGCTTTATGGTACAAAATAATTCCATGATAAAATCCCTTTTGAATCCTGGATTGTTCTGCATTCTTGACGCACAAGACTTTGGTGGTAGTCCTCTGTGAATGACTTCTAATAAACCTAAGAGAAGAGCATTTTGCAAACTTGTGAATGTCAACACTGTACGCAGCCCTGCTTTAGATTTTTTTTTTTTCTCACGAAGACCACAGGCAGTCGAGCCAGTTATCTCAGGCAGTAAGTAGAGAAGAGAAAAGAAATGGACCATATATTGCACATAGCTTTATCGTTAATGCAAACCCTGCTTAATCCCTAGTAGACCTGCTATTCAAATAACAATCACCGACAATTTAGAATATTTGAAGCATGGCTGTGAACTTGCTGCTTTTTCCTTTTCATTTATTAGTAAATTGCTAAACTACATTTCTTTAGAAAACTGTATTTTATATTACAAAAGATAACAATCATCTTTTTAACCATTCTTTCTTAGTTTATTTCATGCCAGTGAGTAGTTAACCTGAAAGTAAACAGCTAATTTTCTTTAATTTAATGTTCATGTCATCAAATGTTGTTCGTTTTTGTTTTTTCCCCTTGTATTTATTCATATGGTTATTCCAAGACCGAAAATTATGATCAAGCCATATTTTAACATTACAGTTGCATGATAAACATCCTGGTTGCTTTTCTACTTTTTAAATTGTTTATTCTTTAAAGGTAATGGGAGACTTTGATTTAATTTTTATTTGTAACATTGTTTTAGTTATTTATGGTAGACTATCTTTGTGTGTGCTTTTTTTTTTCCTCTCTAGAGTGACTGGTACATTTATGGTGGAGGGGAAAAAAAAAAAATCCTGTTTCAAGACAACATTAAAGCCATGCTTTGAGCTTGTTCAAAAATATTGTGAAATAATGTTTTGTTTTTTTTGAGAGCCAACTTACTTTAGACATTTATACATTGTCCAAATAAAATAAAAAAGGTACTTAAAGCACGTTTGACATATTTTTTTTCAATTTTTAAAAAATATTTTTACTGTATGTATAAATGTCACAGCAGAACTCTCCCTTCCAAAAAAGTGAGTTCCTTGTTTCTTCACCAGACTACAACACTATTGCATACATTAACACCCACTGCACTTCCACATTCCTGCAATCCCATGATGCCTCAGATGGACACATGCCAGATGCGCTAGATATTTTATCCAACAGTGCTGTACACATGCTTGCAGAATTGAAGCAATATTCTAAGCATTTAAAACACTGTTGGCTTTATGAAGCAGTGTTGGTGTGTAGATTATGGTGTAGTTGTCCAATTGGTCAATTATCTGCCGTTAAGGAGTTAAATCACCAACTAATTTTGTTTATGCAGCCCTAGATGCACTTTGAGTGACTAACTTACACAGCCGCCATCAAAAAAGCAAGCCCTGTGCAGCCAGTGACTGCAATCTACAGCATGTGATCGCGGTGACCGGCTGAGATAATTTGTTACATTGGCTGAGACCCCTCTTCTCCTTACTTTGATCTGAGGTGAGAGATGTAGAGAACATGGCCTTAACTGTGTCAAAGTGTTTAAATGTTAGTGTTAAAAAAAACAACATATGTATAGTAACCCTTTCAGTGCTGATTACAATATAAAATCTGTCATCAATCTGATTATGGTGATTAGTACCTTGGTACTATTGATATATTTTAAAGGGCCAAAAATTATTTTTGGACCCTTCTGTCAGCTGCAGCAAGTTTTAATTTTTAACCCCTTCCCTGCTCACTGTACTCTACAGCAGTTCTCCTCAACCCTCTCTTCAAGGCACACCTAGCAATCCAAGATTTAGGGTTTGCCTGGGTATATGAGATGTTTAGACCCTAAGGGTTTTTTTTTTTTTTTTTTCTTTACGTTCAAGTGGCTAAAAGAAAAATCACAACAAGGTTGCTTTAAATTGATTTAAAAAAAATATGTAGCAGGCAATCAATTAAAATTAACATATAATTTGCAAAGGTAACATTCCAATGGGTGCCATATGTGGTATTTTATGCTTCCGTTTCATGAGCCTATTTTATCACCAGTAAAAATTGGAAATATTGTGGTATTCTATTTTTAACATATGCACTTTGAGCCTTTACTCTGAATTACCCACATCCCACGCAAGAATACTGTCATATACAACTGTTGTTTTTTGTGGCAAAAATGCACATTAAATTTGAGACATGTCACAGTTGCATATTTTGGATCCTATTAATTCAAAACATACAAGCAAGTTCTGTGTGTTTGTTTTTTTTGTTATTGTAGGGAATTATCAACTTAAAGGTGTAGCGCATAAATCAATAATACAATCTTTACCAGTTTGTCACAAATTTCTAAAGACTTGTGCATCAAAATGGATTTAAATATATAAAGTGCTAATCCAAAAGTACATTCAGTGTTACACATAGGATAATGCATACATTAATCAGGTCCCAGTAAAGTACAAATATCACCAATAAAAGTAGCAATGCAAAAAAAATTGTAATAACGTACCAATACTTGGAATTTTTAGGGAAGTTGTAGAACCTCAAAAATAAAAGCAAAGGGCAAACAATAGTGCAATATGTAAAGAACACTGTATTATGTTGGTTCTTTCAATTTATATCCTGAGTATTTGCCAAATTCTGAAATTAAGTTTAATACTTGGGCAATGGATTCTACTGGATTGGATAGGGTTAGTAAAACATAATCTGCGTATAGAGTGATTTTATATTAAGATATACCATCAATCTTACCATTTAGTCTAAGGCTGCTAGTGGTTCTATGATTAATATGTACAGGAGTGGCACCTGGGGGCATCCTTGTCTGGTGCCATTTCGGACATCAAACCATTTTGACACCATACCTGGACAGATGACTCTAGCTTGCGGATTTGTATAAAGTCACATTGTGCTCTCCTTGGAAAAAAAAACAGGCTAAAGTTCTCCATCACAGAGGCGTGTCCGGCTGCGGGGAAGATGGCTGCATAACTGCTCAGCTCCTCGTGGCACACACTAAAACCGCACCAAAATGCTCACCTCCACCAGACTTAACCATCTGGGTGGACGACCTGGATAACAGGGGTCGCAGATGAAACCTCAGAGTCAGGGGAGTGAGAGAGGGTGGCCCGGGGGAAAACATAGTAGAGCTCCTGAGCACAATCTTTGGCTACGTGCTGGGAGGCCAACAGATCCCCAGACTGGGCCTAGTCAGAGTACAACGCATGCTGCGCCTGCCACCAGCACCAGAAGACCACCCCAGAGATATAGTATGCTGCCTAGAAAATTTCACCCTGAAAGAGTACATACTACGCACTGCCCGCCGCATAGGCACAATAAACATAGATAGCCAAGACATTGTGATATACCAGGATCTCTCCAGCTATACATTACAGGCACAGAAAGCGGTGGGAATCCCGTACCGCTGGGGATACCCGTTTTCCCTGTCAGCCCACCAGGGACAGACAACGTTACACAATCAAGGCCCCAGCTGATGTCCCAGGATTTCAATGCTTGCTAAGCCTTCCTCCTGTACAGGTGCCGAGCTGGCTGGCACACCAGTTCCTTCAGCAACTCAATGGCCCACCACCACTGGGCCGCGACCGGAACCAACGCCAACGGCCCTCGCAGCCCAACCAGACCGGAGAAGTAAAAGTTGAGGCTGTACACCACAACCCGAAGAGGGGAACCATACCCCGGGCTACAGCATGCAACACAAACACCTGTGAGTAACGTCTTCCCATTTGGGGACACATGCCAGCACCGCTATAGGGGGGAAGCATATAACACATGCCAGCACACATTGCGGAGGGGGGTTTAGGACCAAAATGGGGACATGGGACTCCATCAAAGCACCTGGGAAGCCACACCCCACTACGCTTCACCTATGGATAGTCTTTCATTTGGGGTCACAAGTCAAAAAAAATGACACGTGCAAACACTGCTATGAGGGGGGGGGCTTACTTTTATTTGGGAGGGGGGCTAAGGATCAAGAGGGGGATGTGGAAATCCATTAAAACACAGCAGACCTCAAACCCCGCCAAGTCTCACCCACTGTGAGACATCCCCTGTCTGATGGAAACGGACAGTCTGAGACGCACCAAACCCTACCCATTGGAATAATAAATAACGCTCCACTAAATCCATCACGCCATGCTCTATAGCATAACAAATCAGGGCACACAAGTGGGGGGAGGAGAGAGAGACAAAGAGTGCTACAACTGGGTAACACATGAATACTCACACAGGGGATCCTGCACAATACCCAATAAGAAGCCAAGGGGAGGTGGGGGATAGGGATAAACTACAGTGAGACCACATGGAATGAGGGGGGTAGACTGGGGATACAAAGCAAAGGACGGGGAGGAGAGGAGGAAACATATAGGTGGGGAAGGGGGAGGGGAAAAATAAATAAAAAATGAAAATAATAAAAAAGCAGTTTGTGAGATGGGGAGAACAGAAGGGGAGCATGGAGACAGAGGCAGGGAACATTCGACCGAGAGAGAGAGGGGACTGGAGGGGAGGGAGCAAGACATCTAAGGGAGAAGAGGAGATGACCACAGATATTAGTGGAGGAGACAACTCAGATCCAGGAGAGACGCGAGGGGGAAGGAGGAGGAGGGAAATTATATTGTTGACACAGTGGTACCATGCCGACGCTCAACAGGCAACCTTAGCCCAAGAGCCCATTACCACCCCAGATCCGACCCAACAGACCACACAAATGCCTATATACCTACGCATCCAGCCCTACTGGACTGACAACAAATGCACTACAACCCCAGTCGACCCCACCACACTACAACTGGTGACTACTCATACCATACAAGCCACACGACCAAGGGGACGAATCTCCGGAGAAGGGAACAGCCGACCCGCAGAGGCGCAATACTGACCACAAAACATGCACACTACCAGTGTAAACCTCACCACACTACAGAAACCAAAGAGGTGCAGCAACATCCCGCATACACTGGCCACTACGGGGGAATGAATGATACTCCTACCCCCGACCAATAGTGATCACACATAGATCAAACCTGGACAGGACACCAGGAATCCACCACCCCCTCAGGAAAGGGACATGGTGCACCCCTCACACAGAGGGAGCACTTCCATCCAGGAGTAACCCCGGGCACCCAGAACCACTGGACCCGAGTGGACCCACTACCAGGACGCCTGTCCATTAACCTGCCCAATCACCCGGACCCGCCGGGAATATCTACACCCCCCTGACAGCCATTTTTCCCTTTTTCCCTTCTGTCAACTTCTCCTTTCCACTTTCTCCCCCCCCCTTCTCTCCACATCGCCCCCCCTCCCCCTTGCTCCTCTCCCCCGCCTCTGTTTGCCGCCACTTGCGAGCACCCGCTACACGCGGGAGGACCTAGACATTCTCACATACAATGTACATGGCTTTAACATTTGCGAAAAACGCTACTGTCTTCTCCGAGACCTCAAAAGACACAGGACATCTGTAGCGTTCATACAAGAGACGCACTTCCAAGAGAACCGAGCACCATCCCTCAGAGACTGCAATTACCCAATGGGTTTTTTTTTAGCAATAACCCGACTCGCCGCACCCTCGGGGTGGGGATACTATTCGCCAAATGGATACTCTACACAGAACTAGACACTTTTAGATGCAAACAAGGCAGATATATCTTCACGAAAGGCATCATCCACGATCAGAAAAGCACATTTGCGAACATCTACGCCTCAAACACAAAACTATACCAATTCCTCCACACAACAATAACAAGCCTGATAAAATTTGCAGAGGGCACCCTGATCATAGGCAGAGACCTCAACCTGCCGCTACACCAACATGATACCACTGTGATGACCCCGAACAAAAGGCACGCAAAAACACTCCAACTATTACACCACCAACAGCTTACAGACAGCTGGAGGGCACTAAACTCGACGCCCCGAAACTATACCTTCTACTCCTCAACAGACACCTCTTATTCGAGGCTGGACTACTTTTTATTACCACATCATCACCTCACACTCCTCGTGGAATCAGAAATTCTACCAATGACCTAGTCGGACCATAACCCTGTTCGTCTACGGCTTAAATTGCCCTTGTTCTGACCCTGCCAGACCTCATGGCGCCTAAATGAATCCATCCTAGCCGACCCAGCCAGCATCGACAATGCCAGGAAGACTATACAAGACTACTTTGCCACAAACTAGACGGGAGACACAACACCTCTGACCTGCTGGAAGGCCCACAAGGTGGTGATTCGGGGCCACTTTATCGCAATATGTTTGAAGCGCAAGAAAGAAAACGCGCGAACAGTTGTGGACCTGAGCAACTAAATTGCTGTACTAGAAAACCTACACAAACGAACGCAGGAAGCCACCACGCACCGGGACCTCCTCCTAAAACGCACCCAACTTACCCCCCACCTAAACAGATCCATACAACGCTCATATCAACATTTCCAACATCTGCTATATAAACACGGAAACAAATGCGGCAGACTCCTCGCTAACCTCCTGAAGCGACGCAGAACCCAACTATACATCCCCAAAATTAAGGACAACACCTAACAAGTCCGCCACCTCCCGGAACAAATCTCTGCCACATTCCTCTGCTACTACAAGGAACTATACCACATACGCCAAGGACATCCGGAGGAGGTACCACTCCGCAGGCGAGACGAAATACAAACCTATCTTGCAACATCCAGACTACCAAGAATCGAGGACCACGAACGTGTAACGCTAGAGATCCCCATCACGACAGACTAAATAGCCCTTGCTATCAAAAAAGCACAAACGGGCAAATCGCCAGAACCCGATGACCTATCCCTCGTATACTACAAGACCTTCTCACCAGACCTCCTCCCGATATTACTGACAGCTCTGAACTCCATTTGACCGGATGGATTGGGACCTTATGTTCAGAACACTACGGGACCTAGGCATCGGGCCAAAATACATCACCTGGATACAGGCGCTATACACCTGCCCGACAACACGACTGCGGATCAACGGTGCTCTCTCCGACCTGTTTCAGATACACAACAGAACCCGCCAAGGCTGCTCCCTCTCGCCCCTGCTTTTTGCGCTCACACTGGAGCTCTTCCTGAAAAACATCAGAAAAAACAAACACATCCGCGGACTAGAGTTAGTCGGATGCACCACAAGGTCCTCGCCTATGCAGATGACCTCGTATTCATAGTGAGGGACCCGACCGCCACCCTGCAAGCGATCACGGCGGAATTTGAAACCTATGGCCGCATATCCAATTTGCAAATCAACTACACCAAATCAGAAATCCTAAGCCTCAACACCAACCCCACTCAGCGACAGACGATCCAACAACGCTTCCCCTTTTGTTGGTGTGGCACCTGGATGAAATACCTAGGGAAACACCAGACCTGAAGGATCTATACACTCACAATTACACTCCCATCCTCAATGCAACAGAAGAAGAACTACATACTTGGAACTCGCATTACATTTCCTGACTGGGCCGAGTGAACACAGTCACTACAAGAAAATGCATGCAATGTCCTCACAATATTGTACATCACCCCAGCTACCCTACATACCCGCGATCATAATATACCAGACACCTGTTGGCGCTGCGTAGAAGAGAGAGGCACCTTCCTCCACATTTGTTGGGACTGTGCCCTCATTAGGCCATTCTGAGGGACAATTAGCCGAGTGACAGCAGAGGTGACGGATGAACACATGAACATGAAACACCAGTCTCATATCTCCTCCACCATACTTCGATGCCGACACCTGCCTATAAAATGTCAGTGACCCCGAGACTCCTCAGCGCTGCAAAAGCAACCATACCCATGTCCTGGAGAGAACCATGTCCCCCTCCCCCCCATCAAGCAATGGGTGGAGGACACACGAAAATATGAAGACCTGAAGGCAGCTGCTGCAAAAAATAAAGAAAGATACACACAACGATGTTCCCACTGGCTGAGATACATCTCAGACAAATTCATACAACATCTGGCTGCCAGCTAAACAACCAGAGAGCAGAACAGGAGAACTCCCATGGACCACACCAGTGGGGGGCTCGCGGGGCGTGGTCTTCACTCTTCTTCCCTCTCTTTCTCTTCTTCCTTTTTCTCACTCCCTGCCCTCCTCCTCCCTTCCCTCCTTTCCTTCATCTTCTAACTCACCCACCCCTAACACTCACCTCCTGCCCGCTATCTTAGACCACAAGATACCACAGTACATCCCCTGACAGAACAGACTGACCTACCCCCACAGACTTAACCCCACGCCTACGCCTCACACACTAATGAGACAGAGGATGATCCACTGGCGACACCCCAGTTAACCCTGAGACAAGACAAACGCTCATGCCACCCAAATCTAATCACCTGCCAGAATAACCAAACAACAACAAACCGATACACCACTCAACACTACACGAAAAAACTGATGCACGCCCTAACCCACGTCATCGACAAAGAACCTAATTATCAACATGAATATGTTGAAAAACGAGCTGTAACTGAACCTTAAAATAAGTGCTAGACATTCGAACACTCCCCTGCGTGGGAAACTTGTTAAATATGCCGATCTCAACAATAACAGAGATCACACATTATAAGCCTCTGCGAAGGCAAATGCCAAAATGCCACTGATATACCGATTCTGCATTTCATATCGCCTGTCAAACATGCATTACAACCCCTGCATGGGTAAACTGTTCTTTATATCGACCTCAATAAAAATGGATTTAATACAAAGTTCTCCATCACCAAACCCAGGAATTTCCAGTTCACCCTGTCATAAGCCTTCTCGGCATCAAGTGCTATGAAGGCTGATGTGTTTTGGGGATTTTTAGATGATCTATTATATTTCAAATTTTCCGAGTGTTATCAGCTGTATCTCTTCCTGCGACAAATCATGTTTGATCTCTATAGATAAACTTGTGAATTATCATTTTCAGTCTTTCTGCTTTTAATATCTAAGTTGATCAGTGATATAGGGTGATAATTTAACAGGGTGTCATGGTCCTTCCCAGGTTTGAGGATTGAGAGAACATTGGCCTGATGTAAATCTTGTGGAATACTTTTGCAAATAGAGAATTCTGTATAAATGCATTGTAACACAGGATAAACTATTTTATTAAATATTTTATTTAAAAAAAATCGCTGAGAATCCATCTGGTCCTGGGGCTTTGGCATTTTTCATCCATTTTATTGTATTTTGGATCTCAAAAATAGAGAGAGGTTCATTTAATTGTTCTAAATTTTTTGATTTGATTTTAGGTAAGATACTTTTTTTTTTAGAAATTCTTTGATAATATTGTCTTGTATTTCCTCATTTCCATTAGTTTTTAAATTATATAGAATATGATAGTAGGATCTAAATGCTTCCACAATTTGTTTAGGGGATAGATAAGTTTTATTCCTTATCTTTATTTTAGATATTCGATTATTCTTCTTTTTGAATTTTTATTTATTAGAGAGGAGTATGTCAATTTTATTATTATTTAGATACCAATTTTTGTTTTAAAATCATTAAGTTTCTATTTATTTTTTCTTGGGGTTTGATTTTAATTTGATTTCGAATTTGCATAATTTTTTTTAGAAGTGTTTGAACTTGGATTATGTTTATTTATTTTCTCTTGTTCTGGTAAAGATATATTATACAATTTAATAAAGATTCTCCGCGTTTTTTTCCCCACCTGTGAGCCAAGTTTTATAGACCTCTCATATAGCATTTAAAGAATCCCCATACTGAGAAAATTGAAGCTTCTCCGTTATCATTAATTTCAAAGAAATCCTCAGCTTGTTTTATAAACTTATCTGTCTGGGCCAGGTGAACATAAAAATGAATTTAGTTTCAATGTTGTTTGAGGAGTATATTCTCTATTATTTTTAATCTTTAAAAACAAAGTTGTATGGTCTGACCATGTAATTGAGCCGATCTTTGAGAAAATACATCTGTTTATTGAATGTAATTTAGTAGTAAACAAATCAATCCTTGAATATGAACAGTGTACGTTTGAGAAGAAGGTATAATCCCGATCTTGGGGGTGTAATACTCTCCATATATCATACAAATCATTTTTTGCAAGAAAATCTTGGAGTAAATCTGATATATGTTATATTTGGGCTCTATAGTTGCATGAAGTGGCAACTTTTTATCAAATTTGCTGTTTGAGACACAGTTAAAGTCACCTCCCAGGATTAATGAACCTTGTGTTATCTGATCTGTTCTATTCATTATCTTTTCTAAAAATGTTGTTGGAGATTGATTAGGACAATACATTTACTATTGAATATATTAGATCTCTTGATTTTACAGATCAGAATGAGGTATCTACCTTTATTATCCATTTCCTCAAAGATCAGCTCAAACTTGACCTCATTAGAAATCATTATTGCTACCCCTTGGTTGTTTTTCCCCATCCGTCATAGCTATTTAAACATATGGATAACGGGAAAATCTCCATAATTTGAGACACAGTTAAAGTCACCTCCCAGGATTAATGTACCTTGTGTTATCTGATCTATTCTATTTATCTTTTCCAAAAATGTTGTTGGAGATTGATTAGGACAATACATTTACTATTGAATATATTAGATCTCTTGATTTTACAGATCATAATGAGGTATCTACCTTTATTATCCATTTCCTCAAAGATCAGCTCAAACTTGACCTCATTAGAAATCATTATTGCTACCCCTTGGTTGTTCCCCGTCCGTTATAGCTAGTTAAACATATGGATAACGGGAAAATCTCCACAATTTCTTAGTCGGATCATCCCAATGAGTTTCTTGAACCTATGCTACGTCTATATAATTTTGACATAGAGTATGATACAATTGACCTCTTTTATATGGAGTATTCAATCCCCGAGCATTGATTGATATAAAATTAAGTGTCATTTATATTTGTTCTATTAATTTGAGCCTCTCGTTCTTCAAGACAATATGCTCTTTCCTGCACTAGTTCCCTCTGAAAAATTATAAAATTAATAATACATAAAAGGAAAAATAATTTCTTTCATTCTTTACATTCATACACTATTTATACTTTATGCAAACACCACGTATGATCAGAAAACATATTTACGACCTGACCTATTTCCATTTTAGGCCACACTTAAGGTGTACCGACTTTCTATCATATTTTATTAAATTATAAACGCTTTTGTTTCTGTTAATATTTATTTTTCTTTTCATATTAGACCTTACTGTTTTATCAACATTTCCTTATATAGTTTCCTTTTTAATTCAAGAAGAAGAAAAAAAAAAAGTTGTTTTACCAATTATATTTATCTCGTAAGTGCTATTAGTATTGTAATTTCTTTACTTCTAACAAATATTAGTGTTATTTTAATATTTAATCATATACCAATAAAAAAATGTTATATTCTATTTTCTAAGTTTTAGAGGTGTTACATTGTGTCAAAATCCATCATATTATGTAAAACCAATTAAGGTTCTAACTGTGATATATTCGTATATTCTTTTGTGTTGAGTGTTTAATTAGTAAGACCATTTCCATGGTCTCACTAAGTATATTGTATATAATTCCATAACGTTATATTATCTTTTCCATATATGAAAAAGTCTAATCTTTAGATTTAACACCGTGCCCCTTTCTTTTAACCCCAACCTCCTTATAATACCCTGTATAATGAGTAAATAAATAAAATTAAAAACATTCTCTCTTCCCATTTTCCCTTTCTTTCCTTCTCCCTTTATCAATTAACTTTTCTAGTTTTTATAAGTGTTACAATGTGTCAAAATCCATCATATTATATAAAGCCAGTTAAGGTTCTAATTGTGATATATTTGTGTATTCTTTATTGTTACATATTGTGTGTTTAATTAGTAAGACCATTTGCATAATTTTACTAAATATATTGTGTATAAAATTCCATTGCATTATATTAGCTTTTCTATGTATGAAAAGTCTACTCTTTAAATTTAACATCATGTCCCTTCCTTTTTAATCACATCTTCCTAAAGAATAGTGAAAAAACAAACAAAAAAAACCAAGAAATTAAATATAAATATGTCTCTTAATCTAGCTTCTATATATTAAACCAGGGGTAGGCAACCTTTTAGCAGCGCTGTGCCGATATAGGATTGTCATGTCCCGTAGCGTGCCGGTCCTATTTTTTTTAAATTGAGGTGTGTATGCTGCCGTATTCTGCTTGTTATTTTTACTGTTATTGCTTTGTATCGTATTTGTGCGTATATGAGCTATTATATTGTATATGTTCATTAGTATTTTGTGGTATCGTGTATGATACATATGAATGGGGGCTGCTTGTGGAATTGTGTGTGTGTGGATGGATATGTCACATTGTGTGTTTGGTAGTGTGTGGGGGCTGTTTGGGGTATTGCATGTGAGAGGCTGCATGTGGGTTTGTGTGCATGTATGTGGATTGTTACTGGTGTTGCGTTTGTGCAGATTGTATGTGGGCTGTCCGTATTATTTGTATGAGGGGAGGGTAATTCTGCATTTCTGTGTATGTCTAGCAGTGTGGGTGACTTCCCTGGGTTCCAGTGGGGACCAGGCCAGCCAAGTACAGGTCAAGGACAGGAGCAGCAACTGCAAACTGCTCTACTACTGTGTGCTCTGAGATCACTTCCTCTATGTGCTGCAATGCATAAATTGAGAATTGTCCTTCACCACCTCTTCGTATTAGCAGATATCTGAAGTTTTACTGGGACTCCTGATAGGCCAGAGTCGGTTTGGCTCTAGCAGCCTTGAGTGCCGTGCAAAGACACCTCGAGTGCCGTGCATGGCACTAGTGCCGTAGGTTTGCCTACCCCTGTATTAAACTATGCATATTTTTCCTTTTTTTCCCTCTTTCTTTTCTTTACTCTTGTATCAATTAATTTTATACAAAGGCTATATAATTATACAAGTGGGTCAGATATATAGAGATACAAAACCAAAGCAGGAGAGCATCTATCTCATATTGCCTCAAATATTATCTATATACCCTAGTTCATTTAATTAACAGTTCAAGTTTTCATGAGATTTTGAGATTATTAGGACAAATGCTTTTATGGGCAGGTTCTGTCATTATTTTTCTTGGGAGAAAAAAAAAAATCTTAAGGAAACCATCCTTGGTTTTGCTATGTTAAAATGTTCCACTTTTTCAGTTCTTCTTTTGCTTCCATTGGGTTCAAATAATTGTGCATTCTGCCTTTGTGATTTATTATTAATTTGGTTGTGAATCCCCATTGATAATCATTCTTCTTTTGTCTAAGAATCGTTGTTATATCTTGGATATGCCTTCTTTCTGTTAAGGTGGCTGCTGACATATTAGAGAAAATTTTGATATCTTGATGTTTTTCATCTGTAAGTGGATTATTTCTGATTTGTTTCCTAATTGTGTTTTTCAGATGATGGTTTGCAAATCGCACAATAATATCTCTACTGTGGTATCTTTCTAGCGGATGTGCCCCATATGAAAATATATCTGTAATTGAAGCAAATAAATCTAATAGATAAGTTTCAAGTTCTTGATTTGTGACACTTTCAGAGACACCTCTTATTTTAAGATTTTTCCTCCTAGATCTGTTTTCTAAGATATCTTTGTTTCTAAGGATTGAATTTTAGATTTGAGTTGAAGATTCTCTGTTTGTACTTCCATGAAGTCACTCTGAAATTTATTTAATAGATCTGCTTGTTAAGAGAGTTTTTGACTTATGTTAGTTACTTAATTTTTCAGTTCCAACATGTTCAGATCTAAATCTGAGATCATCCATCATAGAGATTAAGGAATCTTGAGAAATGGGCAGATTAGTCACATGATCTTCTTCTTGTGATTTCACTTCTGAGACAATTGATCTTTATTTAGTTCTAATGATCTTCTCGGAGTTCTGGAGCTTTAGGAGAACAAAACCGATATATAGATTTGTTTTTGTCAGGCATTAAGGATTTTTCTTTTTTGGGAGCCATTTTTTTCTTTTTACTTTTCCTTCTTTCCCCTTCTTTTTTTTTCCTGTTTATCTTCTCTTTTCCTTCTGCTTTTTACTTTCATTTTTTAGCCTCATTTTTATCACTACAGCTTCTCATCACTCTAATATATTGGCTATTTGGGATATTTTTATCCATATTGGATGATTACAGCTTTCCATTCCAGTTAAACTGTTGGTGTCTACTTTCTTGAAATAGGGTTTTGTTTTGGTTTGTTCTTGGTCGATATAGATGGTTAAATCCAGGAAATCCACTCTTTGTAAACTATGTGTGGAGATGGGAATATCCCTTATGTATTATCCTTTAAATGGCCTAAAATTGGGTTAAAAGGTCCTAATTTCTTCTCCAAATAAAAAAATATATAAATCGATGTTCTACTTATTAGTTACTTAGTATTGCACCCAGTTTCTCCTTAAGAAAATAAACTTTTCTTCCCAATAGACCATAGAGAGATTTGCATAACTGGGCACAAACTTGGTTCCCATAGCAAGTCAGAAGTTTGTGACACACTAGTTAACACAATAACACTTAAGCAGCTATCATCAATTTCAGTTGTACTGGATTTTTTATTTAAATCACTATGAAAAGTACGGTATCAGCTTAGGCAAGTGTGAATTAAAGAGATGTAAATGATGCCATCCCTGTTACAGACTGAAGGGGTAATAAACCCTGCAGTGAATCAAACTGAAAACCCCCCCAAAAAACAAGTCAATGGTAATTGATACTGAAGATCAGGTAAATTAGTTACAAGTAATCGCAATCCTTATTTGGATACCAAATTAAGGTTGGGATATGGGTTTAGTAGATAGCTCCCTATTTGGTATTCTTATAGGGCAATCCTGCAAAAAGATACAAAATTTGGGAGCTATGTAAAAAAAAGAAAAAAAAATTAATTGAAGAAGCTTTTACAGCGAAACACGTTTTGGCACACTAGGACTGGACTTCAAAAGACTGGATAAGTACTTGACATTTATTTGTTTTTATATTTCTATTTTATTCTTGTTAATTATAGCACATTTTAGCAGTCTGTCCTGTTCCAGATTGTGGAGTGTCACCCCACAAATTGACACTAGGCATTTCCACCGGAGAGCCAAGGCATACATTGGCTCTTGTAAAGAGAGTCCTTTTTACATTGTGATTTTAGGTCTGTGTTCCATATAGATATACTGCACCATAATCTCCTTTACCTGTTTATCTTGAGATCGATACTCATCCAAGAAGGTGAGGTGCTGTTTATAAGAGCACATCTGTGCTACTATAGAGCCTTATCCTCAGGCTCTGAATATTGTGAGTGTCTAATTATATCATTTGCATACTTGCACTTTTTTTGTACCAAATGTGCTAGTTCTATTTTTTTCTCTTTTCATGTTACCCCACATCAAGACTTGGATACTCTTTCAGAAGGGGTAAGCGATTATACATTTGTTTATTAGTCAGCAGTCCACTCACTGATTACAAGTTCATATCTTGTTAAATAATTTTTTGGGTATTTTTAGGGTGAGGGAAGGAAGGCATCCCCTCATGGGTGTTTAAGAGCAGCTACCTACTAAGTTTACTTTGAAGCTTTTTTTTGCACACTGAACTCAATTGTGAGTTATTACTGTTACCCAGACAACTTCAGCTCATTGAGGTGGTATGGGTGCATTGTTCCATATCTCTTAACCCTACAGTGGTAATTATTGCAGTTTGGGATAAACTACAATAATTACCTCTGAGGGTTAACTCCTTCTGCCTGGTTATAGGTTTAATCTATACTTTGAGCTGGAGAAATCTTCATCAACCCCTTAAGGACACAACTTCTAAATTAAAAGATCAAAGGAGCACTACAGTGTCCTGCATCTGTTAAGGTGTCCAGCATCCCTCCGAGTGTATGAAAAGGTAAAATTACTTACCTTTTTTTTTTTAAATCACTGTACGGCTTTCTCCATGGCTGCTTTCTTAGCGAAGATCAGAAATCTCAGCCAATTCAATGCTTCATCATAGGGAACAATTTGGGAGCTAGTTGCGCAAATCAAATGCTGCTTTAGGAGTTTGACTCGGTTCTCAATGTGGAATCAACTCTAGTGGCTGACAGGAAAACAGCAATTGGAGGTGTGTTATTCCTATAATGAAGACATTGCAGTTTCTTCAAAACTGCAATGTTTTACACTGCAGGGTTAAAACTACAGTGGTCCTTTAAATAATATATGCATCATATATAAGAACTGTCAAATAAATAAATGAAATTTGTGAGGGACCACCAGGTTAACTAGTACTAGTACATGTTTCCCCAACTTCCACCCCTCCATGGGTCTGCTGAGTCACGGTGCGCCTGACCAGGAGCAGCCCTGAAACGGATCACAATTTCCTAAGACTTCAATGAGGGCGCTCTTGGTCCCTGGACCAGCTATCAGGGCGCCTTTTGGAGGGGTAATGGAGGGAGTGGTGAGGCATCGAAAGACACCAGGGACTTGGGAGAGCTCCATGTTCCCACGGAAAGCGGTCATTTTAGGTGACTGGGAAATACTACTCAGCTCATGGAACCCCACGCTGGATCAAGGGCTAGCGACCAGCTAAAACTTGGACTTCTACGTAACTCGGGCTAGCCACACCCAATCCGGTAGCTTTTTTGACTAAGTGGGTGCTCTGATCAATGCTTCCTGGGGACACTGGTTGTGTGGGGATATGGGCAGGGGAACAAAGTTATATTGTATTTTCTGCACCAGTGCCAAGTTGTCTGGTCACTAATTAAATTACCAACTCAGGAACAGACACCAGGGATGTTGCAATTAACCCCAGGTATAAAAAGCGATGTTTTCCCAATAAACACTGTGCAGCACTGACCCAGGAAGCACCTCTAGTGGCCTGTGGTCTGGCACCAAGAGGTGTTCCTGGGCTGTAATGTAAATAGTAAGCTGTAGTTGTTATAGTGTCTCTTTAAGTGTGTAAAATATATGTTTGTTCAGCTTACATTTGTTTTCCTTAATAGATGACACCAGTGGTATCATAACCTATGATAGCCTTACATTATTGTTTTGTTATATTTTATTTATTTCTAATCTCATATGTAACATGCTGTTCTGCTCACCTTCTGACCATAGCCTGATTACAAATGCTACTTGCTTATTGCACACCCACTATATGTCTAAGCTACCATGTCTCAGCTGTATGAATATGTGATTTTACCCTGTGCCTTAATTAAAAAAAATTGACAATCGGAAGGATGACTATTAAACTTTTTTTCCCCCTGCAATCTATATTCATTCACCTTTCCATGTTTTGGACAATCAGCTCTGAGTGATACATTTGGCATTGCTGCTCTCTAACTATTCATATATTTGTACGCAGACAAATACTGACCCCTACTGGTCTTACTGCTTCTTTATGCCAAGTAGCAATTAAAGGGAAAGATTTTTACTTGTAGAGATAGCTGTGCTTAAAATAGGCCCTTCTCCGGGCTTAGAAAACAAATCTCTATGATATAAATAGTAACATAAGGAAAATAAGCTTTCTTTGTAGCACTTTAGTGTAGTAATAGACTCAGATTAAATTAAAATCACTTTACTTAAAGGGTTTAATTCTTTAAGAAGTGGTTGTGGTGGTAGGCGACTGTATGTGCAGCATTTTTGCTTGAAACGCACATCCATAGAGAAGGTTACCATCGTTTAACATCCAGAGAGAGCTTCAATTTAAGTCAAGGGCTAATTACTTCTGAATGAAAATTTGAAACTGTGGGCAATAAAATAATCCATAAAAGATTTGTTTTATGTATGTAGGCAGCCAGGGCCGCCATCAGAAATTTTGGGGCCCCTAACTCAGCTCAGGGTGTGGGCCCCGGGGGCATGCCTCCAAGCCCACCCACAGGGACCGCCTCCAAATTATGCCCACAGGAATACACACACAGAAAAAAATAAAAATAAAAAGCACTGATACAAAAGGACACAGATACACACACACATACATACTAACAGATACATATATAGGTATACATACATACTGACAGATACACAGACACATACTACCATACATACAGACTGACATGCATACATGCCGACATGCATACTGACATACATACAGACATGCATGCTGACAGACATACATACATGCATATGTACATACTGACATACACACAGCTCATCTACTGCCTCCCCCCGGCCCCCATCCCTGAGCGGTGGGTGGGGGCCCTAAAAAACAGTAAGGTGGGGACCTACTGTCCTCCCCCCCGGCCCCCACCCCTGAGCGGTGGGTGGGGGCCCTCAAAACAATAAGGGGGGACCTACTGTCCTCCCCCTGGCCCCCACCCCTGAGCGGCGGGTGGGGGCCCTAAATAAAAATTCCCCCCCCAATCAAGGTGACTAGGGGTCCCAAGCCCAGAGCACTGTGATTGGATGGATTTCAAGCCACCCAAACAGAGTGCTCTGTGTCATTTTACACAGCGTGGGAAAGTTCTTTGGAATTTTCCCACGCTGTGTAAAATGACAAAGAGCCCTCTGATTGGCTTAAAACAACCAATCAGAGTGTTCTTAGCCTAATTGCAAGGCGGGGAAAGTCTGCGGAGCCCTCCATGGGTGAAGAGGGTATAAGTTTTTTAGCGTCAGGTTTTTTCTTTTTCGTCAAGATTTTTTTTTTTTTGCGCTCTGGTTTTTTATTTTAAGTTCGACAGGTATGATGGCTTTTTATTTGGCCTTTTTTGGGGGTGAAAAGTGAAGAATTTAGAAAAAAAGAAGTCGTCAAATGGTAAGTTTAATTTTTATTTACAGGTTAGTTATTTTATTCCCCCCTCACTATTTAGGTAGGGGTTTGTTTTATTTGGGTGAGGGGGGTGACTAGGGGCTTGGGACCCCTAGTCACCTTGAGTGGGGGGTTATTTAGGGCCCCTATCTGCCGCTCAGGGCTGGGAGCCGGGGGGGACAGTAGGTCCCCCCCCTTATTGATTTTGGGCCCCCAACCACCGCTCAGGGTTATGGGCCGGGGGGAGGACAGTAGGTCCACCCCCTTATTGTTTTTTTAGGGCCCCCACCCACCGCTCAGGGGTGGGGGCCAAGGGGGGGGAGGACAATAGTTCCCCCCTTATTGTTTTCTAGGGCCCCCACACACCGCGCAGGGGTGGGGGCCAGGCGGGGGAGGACAGTAGTTCCCCCCCACATTAGTATTTATGGCCCCCCCCCGGGAGGAGGGGGGGATATGTTTTTTTTTTACATTTATTTACAGTGAGCAGCCACAGGCTGTTTAATAGACATGCCCCTACTCACAGTATAGCGAGTAGGGGCAGAATTTACTAATACGAAGTAATCTTTACTTAGTATTAGTAAAGTTGGCTCAAAGACCAATTTAGGTCTTTCAGCATTTTAGTAGATAACTCCCTGATACCATGGGAATTAAGGAGTTATCTACTAAGTGACTGCAAGATGCAGCCACAGCACGAATAGGATCGGAGTTTCATTAATTCAAATGAAATTGCGATCCGAACAACGTCCCGAATTGCATCCCAACACGAATGGAGAAACTGTTCTCATTCTGTTAGGATGCAAGTTGGCGGTTTTGTCGGCATTCTGTCTAAGTGACAGGACGTTCGGCAATACTGACAGGAAGCATCGTGGGAACAGGGAGGAAATCTAAGGATCATGGGAAAATTGCTCTGACCAGCGGAAATGAAGCACACTTTGTTCCTCCGCTGGTCAAGCAGAGGAAACCTCCATAAGGCAAAGAGTCCCTAGTTTGTCTTATGATTTTAAAGAAAACTAAAGAAGACAGGAAGAAAAGAAGAACAGATCCTGAGAGAGGGGGAGAAGAGGAAGAGATTGAGGAAAGGTAAGTTCGGCATGACAGTGCCACTTTAAGGAACTAAGTGTAGAAATAAGTGAACCTCTGTTTTTAATCTTTCAAGATTCTTTTCTTTCAGGAAGTGTTCTGGAGGATTGGAGGAAGGCAGATGTGGTTCCTATATTCAAAAAGAGTTCAAAATCCTTGCCTGGAAATTATAGACCTGTGAGCTTACCTTCTGTGGCTGTGAAAATATTTGAAAGGTTATTAAGGGATAATATTCAATAATTCCTTAAGAACATGGTTATCAGCAAAAATCAGCACTGTTTTATGAAGCACAGGTCATGTCAAACTAACTTGATTGCGTTCTACGAATAAGTAAGTAGAAGTATAGATCGGGGTGTTGCAGTGGATGTGATCTATTTGGATTTTGCCAAGGCATTTGATACAGTTCCACACAATAGATTAAACTCAAGGAAATCGGTCTAGATGAAAATGTGTGTTCTTGGGTAGAACATTGGCTTAAAAACAGAGTACAAAGAGTTGTCATTAATGGTAAATTTTCAAGCTGGACAGAGGTGGCAAGTGGTGTCTCAGGGGTCTGTTCTGGGACCCCTTCTATTTAACATGTTTATAAATGATCTTGAAGACAACATTGAAAGTCATGTTTCAGTGTTTGCAGATGACACAAAACTGTAAAATAATACAATATGAGCGAGATATTACTTTGCTGCAGAGGGATTTAGATAGACTGGGGGACTGGGCACTCTAACGGCAGATGAAATTTAATGTTGAAAAATGCAAAGTTATGCACTTCGGCGTAAAGAATGCACACGCAACGTAAACCCTTAATGGAAGCGAATTAGGGATAACAACACACGAAAAGGAGTTGGGAATTGTTATAGACAACAAACTATGCAACAATGTGCAATGTCAATCAGCAGTGGCCAAGGCCAATAAGGTATTGGCATGCATGAAAAAGGGCATTCATTCCCAGGACAAGAATATCATTTTGCCTCTTTATAAATCACTGGTAAGACCACCTATTCTAAAGAAGGATATTATGGCACTAGAAAAAGTGCAGAGGCGGGCTATAAAATTATTAAAAGGAATGGAACATATCAGCTATGAAGAAAGGTAAACAAATTTAAACCTATTTAGTTTAGAAAAACGTTGCCTGAGAGGGGATATGATAACATTATACAAATATATTCGGGGCCAATACAAACCATTGTGTGGAAATCTATTCACAAACCAGACTTTACATAGGACACGAGGTCACGCGTTTAGACTGGAAGAACGAAGATTTCCTCTAAGGCAAAGGAAAGGTTTTTTTACTGTAAGAACAATCAGGATGTGGAATTCTCTGCCTGAGGAAGTGGTTTTATCAAAGTCCATACAGATGTTCAAACAGCTACTAGATGCATACTTGCAAAAACAGAATATTCAATGATATAATCTTTCAATGTAGGGTAATAACTGCTTGATCCAAGGATAAATCTGACTGTCATTCTGGGGTCAAGAAGGCGTTTTTTCCTAGCTTGTTGCAAAATTAGAAGTGCTTCAAACTGGGTTTTTTGCCTTCTTTTGGATCAACAGCAAAAAACAAATGTGAGGAAGGCTGAACTTGATGGACGCAAGTCTCTTTTCAGCTATGTAACTATGTAACAACAACAATATAGGCGAGATGGAAAATGTTTCCAGAGCACTTATTGTGGCTTTAATTTGGTATTTTGGATTTCAATTAACTAGGTTCAGAGTCTAGTGAATAAATCCAAGTTATGTTTTCAATTCAACTATTCTAGTTTAAAACTTTACATTTACTTTGTAAACCTGTTAATTCAGATTTTTTAAATATTTGAACGTATCTTCCTAAACAGAAAAGCCATGACCCTGAAAGAAACCCCAACCTCCAAGATATCTTATTAGAAAGCCCCAGGTCAAGCACATCCCAAGCTGTTGCAGGGCTCCCAGTGAAGACATGGTTCTCCATGACAGGGCTCCCAGCGAGGTACTCGGTGACAGGGCTCCCGGCGAGGTACTCGGTGACAGGGCTCCCGGCGAGGTACTCGGTGACAGGGCTCCCGGCGAGGTACTCGGTGACAGGGCTCCCGGCGAGGTACTCGGTGACAGGGCTCCCGGCGAGGTACTCAGCGAGGTACTCAGTGACAGGGCTCCCGGCGAGGTACTCGGTGACAGGGCTCCCGGCGAGGTACTCGGTGACAGGGCTCCCGGCGAGGTACTCGGTGACAGGGCTCCCGGCGAGGTACTCGGTGACAGGGCTCCCAGAGGTACTCGGTGACAGGGCTCTCGGGGAGGTACTCGGCGAGGTGCTCGGTGACAGGACTCAGTGACAGGGCTGCAGGTAAGGCCTAGCTCACCGGAAGGGGGAGCGCACTTTATTATAATGTCCCTGGATTTGCGACACCTCCATTTGTGGCCGTCGCGCATCACTTCCGGCCGGGTAGCTGAGCGAGCCGCTTGTTCGCGCAGGCGGGAAATCGCTTTTTGCCGCTGAGAGCCCGGGGAGGTCTGCTGACTGACTGACTGGCCCCTGAACCTCCGCCCCCCGCCTGCCAGTGAACGTGGAGCCGGCTGTGTTTCCAAACAGAGCGTGCGGCCATTGCCCTAGTGCTCGGCAACGATGAGCGCGGCCACGGGGGAAGAGATCATCCGCATCGCCAGGAAAATGGAGCGGATGGTGCAGAAAAAAAACACGGTGAGTGCCTTGCCAGCGGCGCTGGAGGGGTGGGGAGGGATAATGGTACAGGCTGTCCGTACCGGGGTAACGGCGGATAATCTGAGTAAGGGGGAGCCCGCACCCTCCGTCCCCGGTTAGTTGGTACGGTCTGGGTTGCGGTGCGCGCCCCCCGTGTGTCCAGGCAGGTGCGCGCTCCCGTGGTAGACACTGTGCACCCTCTATCACATCTCCCAACATTGCAAAGGGACAAAGAGGGACACTCTCATTTTAAGGGTGGGGGTGTGAGGGACACTCTCATTTTAAGGGTGGGGGTGTGACCAGACAATGGGCTGTTCTGGGAAATTCTAGGTGACTTACTGATCATTTTATACAAATAAAATGCAATTTGGAACAAGAACAATGTATCTCATTCACACAGACTGATTTCTAAACACATTTATCGTAGTTTAAAGGAACACTGCGGTCACCGCAACAACTTCATCTTTTAAAGTTGTTATAGTGCCTGGAGACCACCCGGTGCATTCTTATCTTGGCCTCCAGCGCCGGTTCTGCACATATCCCAGCGGTGTCCGGCTTCTGAGATTGGATTTCAGGAAGCGCACTGGACAGGAGTGCTGCTGATTGGCTAGAGTGATCAATTGATGCTTTAAGTCGACCAGTAACTCCCCATTCATTAAAAAAATAAAAGTTGCATACCTTTTTTAATGAATGGGTAGCTACTGATTGGCTTAGAGCCCTCAAACACAGCAACAATATAGAGCTCCTAGAAAAGAGGGACAAGGGAATTTAATGGGTATACTGTATAAGTTATATGAATCATTATCTTCAGTGTGCACAAGGGTTTCGTTCCTTGTACTGGGGATAGTGAGTGAAGACCAGGGAATCTGAAAACTACCGAAATTAAAATATTATCCAATTGCCTAATGAATTCTGGGTTTAATGAATAAGCTAATCTGTTTAATGAAATAAGCTATTCCTATGCTTAGCGGATACACAAGGCCAGGGGTAGACAAAACCTTAAATAATGCTCTTACAGCCATAATGTTGGCAACGCATGAAGGGAGATGTAGTCAAAATTTGGAGTGCCGAAGGATGCCTAACCCTGCACTAGACATTTAACTGCAATATTATTTAGAAGTAGCCCCTAGTCTATAGGTCTGCAACCTATGGCACTTGAGGCACTTTTGCATTCACTCAAGGCTGCTACAGACAAACTAGCTCTAGCCTATCAGGAGTCCCAGTGGAACTTCAGATATTTGCTAGTGCAAACTGAGTGGTGATTGCAGTTGGTAAGGGATAATCCTCAATTTACGCATTGCAGCAGTTAGAGGAAGCGATCTCGGTCACCTCCTCCCAGCACTTGTCTACTAGAATCCACACCATTGCAGCTCCTGGCCTTGACTTGGCTAGATATACACAGAGCTGAAAAAGAAGCCTCCCCCTCTTACAAGTAATACAAACACCACACAACTGACAATCCATATACACACACACAATCCCACAAGCAGCCTCTCACATGCAATACCTCAAGCAGGCCCCCCCCCCCCACACACCACCAAACACACAATGTGGTATATCATCCACACACAAATTCCCCAAGCAGCCCCCTTACACAGACCACATTCATAGGTATCATACGCACAAATACAATGCTACAAAGCAACTGCACAACCCATAAATAGCACAAGGGCAATACAGCAACATACACACTGATTTTAAAAAAATAGGACCGGCATGCCATGGAACTTTAAGAGGTTTTTTTTGGCGCAGTACTACTAAAAGGTTTCCTATCCCTGCCCCTAGACCAGATTGATAATGTTTAGTAAAAGGAGCATTTTAAACTTTTGTAGCACTTCAGCTTTCAGTGTCACGTCTGGCTTACTTGGCACTTTTTTAAATTAATTTAGTGCTTCTCTAAGGGAATCATTCTATTGCAGGATTACTGCGCATGTGCCATAGTATATATGGAAAAAACAGAGGGTATATGGGATACGGCTGGACAAAATCTAAAACAAGGAACATAAAAGAAAATATAGTGTAACACAGTTATATACAAGTATTAATGCGACAAGATCGTATACACTCACAAGATAAAGACGTGTAGTGCGCTCAAGGGTGCCTCCCGTGATGTAAATGGGATAAATGCACAGCAAGACTCCAGTAGGTATACGTTGAAAAAAGTATCAGGAGCTTTATTATAAAAAGGTGGACAATAACCACCAGCATGAAGTATAAAAATGAGGAATACAGGTCCTACGCGTTTCGTTCTAACAGGGGAACTTCCTCAGGGACCAAATGGCAAGGATATTCCAACAATAAAAGCAAGTATAACAAAAAGTGATCTGATACCCCCCCTCCTACGAGTCTCTATTTATAGGGCTAATCCCTAAGTCCATTGGTAGATCCGTGGGTGTTATCAAGTATTAGGTCACACTTTGTTATTTTTTATTATTATTATTATTATTATTTTTTTTTTTTTTCTGATTTGTGGCCTATTCTTATCATATTTTAGGCTTAAAGGCTGGCACAATTATAAAATATACTGATATCTTGATTGCAAATATTGGATTCTCCTGTAAGGCTTCATTTTTGTTTTTTGGCACTTGATAGGATTGCTGCACGTTACTGCATTCACCTGCTCTTGTCTTACCTTCATTTATCTCCTTCTGTCTCCTTCTGTTCTTCTGATACATGTATTTCTTTTTACTTTCTCTACCACTTTGCTTGACTGCGTACTGCATTACAAACTGGGCTCATCACCAGTTGATATTTCTCTGTTTATTTTTCGTGTGCACTCGTTGATATATCAACGTTATGAGGATGAGTCCTGATATAAACTTTTTTTGTGTGTGTGTTTTGAACTCTGTTGTAACATTATCTGCATGTGTTCACAACTCATTTGTCTGTATTGTATGAGGTGCTTTCCTTTAAATTTTTTCTCAATAAGACTTATTACTATAAAATATGTTTAATAACTATGTGTTTTTAAATCTTGTTTTATTGATGTATTGCAATTATGAAGTGGTAGGCACACAGACCACTGTATATGCAAACATATCCATAACACCAATATATACATTTTACATAAGTTCAGTTACTTTGTTAACTCTTTGATAGTTGCCAACTTACGGTGCAGAACCGCCAGGTAACGGAAAATAGTATGGTAACATGATCTGTAGATCGATCCCCAGCATTAGCTGCTACCTGAGTTTTCCTTTATTAAAATAAGTAAGCCAGTGCTATGTGGGAAGTACAATCCTCCCATCACTTATCAGAAAAAGAGGGCCTGCTAGAAAGGATAGCGTAGAGAGAGAGATAGTATAGAAGTAGATGAAGAGAAGATAAACAAGGGTTCCTCAGCCTGGGCGGTTGAGCTCCTCCGTGAGCCCGCCACGTCTCCTGTCTGTTCAAGCACTATAGATCATGAGCCATATAAACAAACCACGGTTGCCAGGCCTCAGTGTGCTTTTAACCTGTCCCAAGCAGAGAAGCATGTAGCGCATCAGCCGCCTGCATGTCCTTCACCCTGCGTAACCAGGCCTCCTTTGTGGGGATCTGTCTTTTTCCAAAAAAGGCACCTTAGCCAATTAAGCAAGTGGTGTAGGATGGATTTCTTGTAGGCTGAGATATTTTTATTTATTTTTTGAAGACATGTGTAGCAGAGCGAGCTCCCCTGACCAGTCAACCGAATCCCTGAGAATATCAGTCACCTCGTCCCTCACCATGTCCCAAAAGGGGGCAATTTCCAGACAGTCCCACCATATATGCCACATCCTTCCTGGTATCTCCAGCAAGTGGGCGAGACACTAGGAAAAAATCCAGGGGAGGAGGGTCGGCGTCCTGTACTAGGTGATATTAATTTATAGTTAGTTTGAGAAGTGGAGTTTTCAATCTACTTTATTCCTCTTCATATGGGAAAACAAAGAAAGTGTGCAATAGCTTATAATGGGACGATGAAGTATAGTGTGATTTTGTAAAAGTACTACATATATCGGAGTGAATGATTGTACTTCTGCATAAATGAGATAAGCATTTAGAATATGGAATGCTCAATTTTAACCCAGTAATAGATTCCAAGGTATTGGCCCTCTGCATTTGTGCATGGAGTTGATCTTTGTGACTAAATAGATGTGTTCCTTATTTTGTGACTCAAAATATGTTTTTCTGCATACTTATTATTCGGTCTTGAGTTGACTTGAATCCATTTTATGCCTAGCTTTTGATGTTCTATATTATTTAATATACTGTACATTTAGCAGATCTTATTTTTATTTATTTATTTTTATTGGTAAAATTATGCATATGACATTGTTCATTTGGAAAATTAGGGAATTTACATTGGTTCCAATTACTGATGTGCCTGTTATCAGTGGGGCCATTGAAATGACATTGGGGGGATGGGACCATTTTTGGGGTAACAATCCAGTTGCTATGAACCACTGAGGTAGAAGAATCAGATTGGTGAATTGTCTTATTGTTTTTTATACCACTGAAATTTTCTGAAGACATAATCACAAGGGTTTCAAGAGGCCTATAAGTTCTCTGGAATAAAGTAGTGTTTTCTTACAGCATAGCTCACCATTTTTATTTATTTTTGTCCATCATTCAATTAGAGTTGGATTTTACTTGGTTCACTTTTTAATTTGATGTGCTTGAGTTGAGTATAATGTATAACATCTGTACTGGGGTGGGCTGCGGGGCAGGCAGGGCTTATACAGTTCCAGTGGAAAGGATAGTATTTCTTTGACCACAATCTAGCAAAAGTTTAGAAAGACAGGGAAATGTAAGGAGTAATGAAAACTCAGTTGAAATTCATGCTAATATATAATCTTTCTATACAGGTGGGAGCTCTCGATCTGTTGAAGGAACTTAAAAGTCTGCCTATGACCTTGGAACTTCTTCAGGTAAGTTTGTTATTCCGCATTTGAGTGAGAGAAAAATGTGAAGACTAAGGCTGCTACATGTTATGGTACACTATAATTCCTTGATTGTCGAGTATCCTCTATAGTCCACAAATCTCTGCAGCGCTGTGACCAACCATCATTTTAACGCACCAAACTACTGGTAAAATAAAAAGCATTAAACAGTTGTGTTTTTAACAGCAGCAATCATTTATAGAATGTAAAACAGAAAATGCAAGGTAGGCAAATGTTATTATAGCTCCAAAGAACCTGACAGCTTTTAAATCTAAAATTAATTCCATATGATGTCCATGTCTAATAATTCTAATGTCTAAATTGAAAATGCAATAATAAAAAAAATTCCATAGAAATCAAACGAAAACAAAGTACTTGATTGAAAGATTCAATCACAATAATAAATTTGGATTTATTAACGAGTGGATTTGAGTTAAGTTAGGTCTATTTAAATCACTAGTCTGTAAGACTCGATTTAAATAATGTTTTGTTTTAAAGGTAAATACTAATGCTTGCTGGTTGTTGTAATTTTAATATTTCCAACCAGATAGAGACTTCATCTTTAGAGTAATAACTGTTCAGACCTGTTTAACAATTATATCAGAGCGGATTTATTTTATTTATTTATTTATTTTTAAATAAACCATTGTAAATGACTAGATAATTTATTGCAAGGGGAACTATCTCCAATTTAATATGTTTATCCTAACACTATAGTGTTAGGAACACAAACATGTTTGCCTTGTTTTAAGCGCAGGTCCGCCAGCGCTGGACCTGCTCTCGACCCGCCTCTCTGCTGACATTACTAAAATTTATGATTTCAGCCAATCCAATGCTTTCCCATAGGGAAACAGGCTCAAATCGGAAAGGAGGCAGGGCAGGGGGCAGGGCCAAAAGCTAGCCTGGCCCATTAGCACCTCCTTATAGAAATGCATTGAATCAATGCATCTCTGTGAGGAAAGTTCAGCTGCTTGGAGACACTGTATGGAAGCCCCTCCAGTGGCCATCTGAGACATGGCAACTGGAGGTGTCCATAGGGGGCAATGTAAACGCTGCCTTTTCTTACAGCAAAAGGCCTGCAGGGAATGATTATACTCATCATAACAACTACATTAAGCTGGGTTTCCACCAGGTGCTCCTCGATGCTGGATGATATGCATCTGACTTCTGCAGAGTCAGATGTCGATCCCGCCAGTCATTCCATTGGCTGAACGTGTCAGCAGAGCTCATTTAGAAAATTAATAAACTTGTGTGTAAAGGATATACACAGAATTGACATTAACCAGCATAAAACTCTTGCTCTGTGCTTATTTTATTAAAAAATTCAGTGAAAAGGTGCATGTTTTCTCTGTGGAGTCATGGTCCATTAACTTGAAGAATTGATGTATATGTTACATGAATATACAGCATCATGCTACATAACTAATCTCGTTTTCATGCTGAATAACCTTTGGACTATCGTCTAGTTTTAAATAGATTTTTCACCCAAAATAATTTTATTAAAAGAAATCTAATTTTTGAAGAAAAAATTTAAATTAATATTTTGTTTTTTAATCAATTTTTTCCACCCTGACTTATTGCTGTGTAAAGCTTGTGCAACTGGTTCACTAGGCTTGTGACATTATGTGGTGACATATTGCACTACCAGCCAATACACAGAAATCCCCTTCTGCTTGTTCTTTCTAGAATTCTATTTGTTTCTTTGAGATTTAGTTTCAGTATTTATGTTGATTCTCTGAACTCAATGAGACACAAGTGACAATCAAACCAAAAAAGGTCCCTTTTCTAACTGTACTGAGTGACACATTAATTTTGAAGTCTGAGAAATTGATAATATATACACATTAACTTGATAATATATATACACAAAAAAGTCAATATTTGATAAATCCCCTATTGTAACTTCATGTTAATAACAGGAGTCCCTGACCATGATATCGGATAGCTGTAATTGAATATTCCAAAGGTTTTTATCCTTAAGGTAAATCGGATAAGTGGGAGCAAAAAAGCGAGAAACCAAAAAACTTTTTTGTCCAAAGTTTCTTTCAAAAAAAGTCAAAAAAAGAAAAAAAGGAAAAAAGAAGAAAAATATAAGAAAAAAAATTATATGAAAAAAATAATAAGGAAAAAAGTATAAACAGTCCCAGTGTGTACACACTATGGTATATTGATGGATCTCACCGGTGGAAAGAAAAGTTCTGTAGTCCAGTATCTTTTAATGTAGAAGTGATACCTCTGTTGTTATGAGGACCTCTTTATCTTCTTTCCTTCCTCCTTTGTCCGTAATGGGTGTAGTGTATCTCTTCACTTGCTCCTCCTTGATCCCTGGAATGACAGGATGCGTCCAAATATATCTTGCAAAATGAGTCTCCTGTGCGTGCTGATGCAGGGGCTCCTGTGTGAGATGTGGGCTGCGCGCTCGGGACCTATAAAATCCCTTTGATGGCCCTGTTAAAAAAAAGTCGTGTGAATCCTATGTTTATATGTAGTATGGCGCGCCCGCTTGTATGTGCGGGTCGCGCCCAAATGACATCATGACGTACGCGTCAGAGAATTGCGTCTGTTTTGGCGTCATGGCGCACACGTGGGGTTACTATGCCCGACGTGCGCGCCGTTAACTGTATACAAATGTCCATGTAGATGATCATATGCCACAAAACAAATCTCTTAAATCCCAATGTGAACCTCCTATCTTTTACATAGAGTGCAAAATCAAACTGGATAAAAACATATTTGCGATCCTCTAAAATCCATATATATGGAAAAAAGGGATTCCCTGATAAAAGAGAATCTTTTTGTATTCTATTAAAGAACACAATGATATACTACTGAATAGAGAGGATCATATTAACATGAAGTATTCAAATAATCATTTGCTCTAATAGAGTTTTATGTCCCAAAAGGGGATACTAGTCATATTTGTGTATATATTTATTTATTTATTTGTTTATTTATGCATACTATAAATGGTATATTTATACCTAAGGGAGCTAAAAAGGCTCATTGTTTCAAAAAGAGGAAAAGAAAAGGGGATTAAAGTTATTAATATGTTATAACTCTTAGAGAGTCTACGGACAGTAGGGGTACCCATGTTTCTGGTGCTAATAGACTGTTTTTATGTTTTAGGTACAAGATGTGTGAGGTTTTCCTTTAAAACTGTTGCCACTAATTTAAAGCCTTCCTTTGAAGATACCAAAGTACTAAATAAAAGGTCTTGAGAGACTAGGGATCTATTGTAATTGCAGCAGTAAATCAGTGGTGACCATACCCATTAATTTATCATAGTTTTGTTATTTGTTGCATACTCACCAGCAGTGTAGTGTATGAAACAGGGCATGTGGTTTCTCGCACGTTGGACCCCGTAGTTTCGAGGGTGACGGACCATGAGATGGTCAAACTCTTAAAAGGTCTTAAGGAGTAAAAGTGACAGGCATGCCATATAGGGTCCCAATGACTGACTATGGATATAAGAAAATAGCCCTGGTTAGTGGACTAAAAATAAGACGTTCAAACAGTACTGTAGTGTCCTAGGTTATTCTACAAAAAGTGTTTGAGGTCATAGTCCTCGTTCAGACCATCCGGGTGGAGTGTTTCCAGAGTGCTGATCCACTTTGTCTCTTTACATAAAAGAGCTTTTTGTCTATCTCCACCCCTGCGTAATGGTTTAACACCATCAATTACCTGGAATCGTAATTGGTTAACACTGTGACCATGCTGTAAAAAATGTCTGGGTACTGGTTTGTCACACGTCCCTTTCTGAATGGCAGCTCTTATGTCCCTCTTATGTTCTCCTATACGTATTTTCACGGGCCTAATGGTTTCCCCAACATAGAGAAACCCACATGGACATTTCAGAATGTAAACCACATATTCTGAGTTGCAAGTGTAGTATTCTAATATTTTAAAAGGTTTACCTGATCTAGGATGTACAAAATGATCACCTCTGATTATACTGTTACAATGTATACAGTTTAGGCACGGAAATGTGCCTTTCTTGGGTTCAGAAAAAAAATCTTTTCTGTTTTTTGTTGCTACCTATATCTGAATGTACTAGTTTATCCCTAAGGTTTTGTGCCCGTTTATATGAGAACAGTGGAGGATTTCTAAATTCACTCGGTAAATTTGGATCACCCTCAAAGATGTTCCAATGCTTTAATATGATCTTTTTAATAGCATTACTCTGGGGTGTGTATGGGGATATAAACGGAATCCTCTGTATTATGTCTTTGTTGCAATAAATAAATTTATTGTGCAATAAATTTATTGATAGGGGTTACCCATCAGAACTTGTGACAAGACACAGAGCTAGGATAACAGATATGAACAGGGAAGAAGTACTTAACCCTACGGGCAGAAACAAAGACATAATACAGAGGATTCCGTTTATATCCCCATACGCGATCAAGGAGGAGCAAGTGAGGAGATACACTACACCCATTACGGACAAAGGAGGAAGGAAAGAAGATAAAGAGGTCCTCATAACAACAGAGGTGTCACTTCTACATTAAAAGATACTGGACTACAGAACTTTTCTTTCCACCGGTGAGATCCATCCATATACCATAGTGTGTACACACTGGGACTGTTTATACCTTTTTCCTTATTATTTTTTTCATATAATTTTTTTCTTATATTTTTCTTCTTTTTTCCTTTTTTTCACTTTTTTTGAAAGAAACTTTGGACAAAAAAGTTTTTTGGTTTCTCGCTTTTTTGCTCCCACTTATCCGATTTACCTTAAGGATAAAAACCTTTGGAATATTCAATTACAGCTATCCGATATCATGGTCAGGGACTCCTGTTATTAACATGAAGTTACAATAGGGGATTTATCAAATATTGACTTTTTTTGTGTATATATATTATCAAGTTAATGTGTATATATTATCAATTTCTCAGACTTCAAAATTAATGTGTATATATTATCAATTTTTCAGACTTTAAATATAACCTCACTTATGAATTACATTTGTATAAGATAATGAATTCACTAATGATTTATTAAATTTAGCCATGAATTTCTTCAATTTATGAGTGCAGTATCATTTTTGTATTTTTCTGAGGTATTTTTGGCCACCTCGATACTTTGCACCAACAGGGATAAAAGAGTGCTTGTACATAAAAAAATCTTTTGTAATACACTACACTTAGGCATACTGTATTTAGATGTGTTGCAGTGTTGTACTTGCTGCAGCTGAATAGTAGTGATTTTTACTCTACCATGGCAAATAATTTACGCAGGAGTTGTTTACATTAATTGTGGTTCTCTGCTTCATGGCCTCCATTGGGGCTACCACTGGGGCTCTGGCACATTCCTCTGCCGTATGAGGAAGGGTTAGCTTGGAGGCCGCTGATGGGAACAATGGGAAAAACAATATATCAGGCAAGAAACGAAGACGGGAATCAGAAGTGCCGGGTGCCAGAGCCCCAACTTTAGGGTTAAACAGTTGCCAATTATGGCAAAAATGCACCTTAAGTGGTTCTGGGGGGTTGGAGTGCTGATTTAAGAGCTAATAATGTCACAACAAAACCAGCCTTTAAAGCATCACTGTAATCACTACAACCTGCTTATCTAGTGATGGCGCCAAGTGTGCCTTGGTGCCATCCCAGGGTAAGTAAGTCAAAGTGTTTGAGAACGGTTTGACAACTTACTTGACAAATGCCAGTCTCATCATTGACTAAGAGCTTTAGATTTCTCAGTACAGGTAGCTTCCGGGGGCACAGGAGTAACCATTGGCATACTCCAGGTAAAATGTGAGACTGTTCTCAAATTATTTAACTAATCTGCAGTGGTTATGGTGTTTTGCGTGTTCCTTTAACGATTATGTATCAAACTGAAACACTCTCTTCATTTAATAAAAATCCAAATCCAACCAGGTTTTGAATCTCATACACTTATGCTTTTTGTTTCCGATCACTTTAGTTTTCCTTCTTTGGCAAAATGTACCCATTTCTCATTGTGCCCTGTTATATAACTTGATCTGTAAGGTTTAGCAAGAAGGGAAACACAAAATCATTTAGTTTAAGTTTAGAACACTAGATGGTGCTGTTGTGCCCCACAAAATAACCCATAACTTTTTTTTTTTTTTTTTTTCTCATGAGTTGCTTCATTTTATTTTACATTTTCAACAAATAAGGCAAGTGACGTAATCCGTTTCCGTCAGTGAAATACGAAAAATAACTTATTTTTTTCATTTCTCTCCTCTGGGGATTTTCACTTTACTACCTGCCAGATGCACAGGGCAGATTGTGTAACGATTGGTAGATAGCTTAGATAAAGTCCCCAAATTGCAGAGCATAGAAGTGTGGATTTCTACTTTTTAAAGGTTACTCCAATCGTCATAACCACCACAAACCACTGTAGTGGTTATGATGTAAGGGGTGTATTTCAGCTGGATGCATGGAATAGCCTTCCAGCTGAAGTGGTAGAGGTTAACACAGTAAAGGAGTTTAAGCATGCGTGGGATAGGCATAAGGCTATCCTAACTATAAGATAAGGCCAGGGACTAATGAAAGTATTTAGAAAATTGGGCAGTCTAGATGGGCCAAATGGTTCTTATCTGCCGTCACATTCTATGTTTCTATATGTCTTGACCCGGTTCCCAGTAATGAGGAAAACCCTTTAGCAGCACGACTGTCCACTGACCTCTCTGTTAATTAATGCAATTCTGTGCAATGGAACTTTAGGGCTGGCTGATAACACCCCAATGATGCTTCTGGAGGTGGACTTAAATGTGTATGTGCAGTGTTTCATAGCAAAATGCTGCACATACAGACTTAAGGCACCATGACAGCTTTAAATCACTGAAGTGGTCATGGTACTTGGAGTAACCCTTTACATTTATCTTTTCATACCACACATGCATATTTGTTAAATATAGGGAAATGTAAATTTGCAGTCGTAAATGAGTCTGTTGCAGTTTCAACCCTCTGTCAGTTCCAGGAACGTTTGAGATGCTAGTGTCTTGCATCACACCTGCAGATAAATCAGAACATATTTTAAACATGTATATTTGTTTCTGACTCAAACATTTCCAGAGAAAACGAAACTTCTTCCCAAAAGCCAAGTGAGAGTTTTCATTTTCTCATGATACGTTGAGGTAAGAAACCATGCCATTTAACCCAATAACATTTCACTTTCATTTTGATTTTTAAGCTTCTATTTAGTCAGAGCATAATTACCTGTGAACAAAAAGCACAATACGATCTTGGCAGGCTGCCTGGCACATGTTTACACACACGTCCAGTTTTAGGGTTCTGGTTTTATTTTTATTTTCCTAGCTCCCCTTTTCAGCTTCGTAAGCGTTCTTCTGCTGAAACGTATGGTTTGTGATGTTAATGGAGAGCTTCAATTTGTAAGAAAATTGAACGTTGCATTGTATACAGGATCATTAAATTGTTGCATTAAAATGCTGTTTTACCCTTTATTATACTCTATTTTATGTGTGTTAGTTGTATTTTATGTATGTTCTATTTTAGCTGACGTGCTCAGCTAATGAATGATGTTAAAATATAGATAAAACTAATATTGTTATTGGCTTTTTTCCCTCTCCTGCCCACAGCATAGTAATAATCCCCCATGCCTTTTATATTTGTAATCTGTGTTTTTCCTTGTGTTAGATCTCCATACCTAGGCACAGAAATTTTCTTCTCCTCTGCCCATAATGTTTACTGTTTGCCCTTCCGTGGGATTCATACTACTGGTGGATTGTGGGTGCTTTTGATTAGCAGCTGAAACCAAGCCTTGTTTAAGAGCGATGCTCTGTCAGCTTGTCTGCCATAATTAAAGGACATCTATAGGCACACAGACCACTCAATGAAGTGGTCTGGGTGCCAGGTCCCTCTAGTTTTAACCCTGCAGCTGAAAACATATCAGTTTCAGAGAAACTATGTTTACATAGCAGGGTTAATCCACCCTCTAGTGGCTGTCTCCCTGACAGCCACTAGAGATTGCTTCCGCGATTTTCCGAGTGAAAATCGCATTGAACTCACGTTGGACGTCCATAGGAAAGCATTTAATAATACTTTCCTGTAGGCGGTTTGAATGTGCGCGCCTCTGATGTCGGCAGAGGGAGGAGAGGTCACCAGCGCCGGGCTCCTTCCCTCCCTTGGAATTTGCATGTTTATTATTAACTATTCACAGTTTAACTATTAAACATTTTGTGGATTACTACCTGCTTGCTACAAAAAAATAATACATAAGGTTATTAAAGGGACATCAGCACTGGATTAAGGTAAGTGGCTGAAGGGGTTTTAACTCCTTTAGCCCAGCAGGAGGGGGGTCCCGGCAGGACACACCTAATAACCCTATAGTGCCAGGAAAACGGGTTTGTTTTCTTGGCACTATAGGATCCCTTTAAGGAAAAGTAGTCCCTACTTTTCCTTATATAATCTATGAAAACTAGAGTCATCAGGAAAACAAATAGAGATTTAGACGCAGGAAGATATATAGAAGCAGATTAAGTAAATTTTTGGTGAATTAGTTGCTTTAGTCCAAAAGTGGAATTTCTGCATTGACTTTTTAAATCTGGCGCTGCAGGACCCCTAGTATTACTAACTAAGTTTGTACTCAAAAGTCAGGCACCTCACTTTATGGTACCTCTGCCTTCAGAAACCCACATTACTTTCGACTTCTACTTGATGGCGTTCAGCCTAATGGCACCATAGCCCCTACATCGCCGTGTAGAGCTTATGGTGCTTAAATTTCCCCTTTAAAGAGGATCTTTTTGTGTTATATATTTACTAAAATCATAAAACATTTTAAATTTAATTTTCAGAGGTTCCTAAAACTAAGTTTGACATTATTTGACTATATCACCAACTTGAACAAAATATTGGCACTGTCTGGTATCCAAATGAGTTATGGGGTGTGGGGGGAGTTGGGGGAGTAGATAACTTTGGAAAAGTAAAAAAAAAAAAAACATTCAGAACACTGCAATTAATGGATCTTTGCATATAGCCACTTCAAATACAGTTTCACATTATTCTTCCCCCATTGTTTATTCTCTTTACAGTCCACCCGGATTGGAATGTCTGTGAACGCCATCCGCAAACAGAGCTGTGAGGAAGAAGTGACTTCTCTAGCAAAGGCTCTTATAAAATCCTGGAAAAAGCTATTGGGTATGTGAAGGGAGAGATAATTAAACATGCAGTGGTTAAATTGTGTAGAACTAAATAATCACTTTACCATAACTTAAATATATTTTATTCTTTATTGTTTTGATACAGACCACAGTAGCACATGTATCAGACACTTGCAATCTACTGGTGGTAGTCTGTTTCCAAAGTACTCTTAATTTTAATAGGGATCTAATCTAAAATTAGGGGTTTAATGGACCATTAATGTCACATAGACTACTTCATTAAAACATGGTCATTTGATGCTTCAGCTCCTACTATAGAGTTAGGAATACAGTCTTGCCTCAGTTTTAATTGGCATACAAGATTGCACTTCAAACGGTTCATGGTGAAAGTGCACTGTGGCGTCTTATAAGTATTTTTTATTCCAACAGCTGTTTTAAAACCTGTAAGAACAAATACCTTTTTATTAATTTGATTTCCTATCTCTAGATGGCCCCTCTGGTGATAAAGAACAAGAGGAAAAGAAAAAAGAGCCTGCCCTTCAACCTCAGAGCAGTCCAGAAGTGAAAGAAGAGAGGTATGTTATGGGTTCTTGGTGCTGTAATTAGAAAATTAAATGTCCAGCATAGCTGTTTGAGCGTAAAGTTTGGAATTCGCTTGTTTATTCACAGTTTAACTATTAAACATTTGTGGATTACTACCTGCTTGGTACAAAAAAATAATACAGAGGATTATTAAAGGGACATCGGCACTGGATTAAGGTAAGTGGCTGAAGGGGTTTTAACCTGTACCTATTAAACCTATAGTGCCAGGAAATCGGCTTTGTTTTCCTCACACTATAGGATTCCTCAAATGTTAAAGAAATCTCAGGTTCTATATTTGAACCTAACACCACATACATTTATGTAGCCATTTATACTCCATTCAGTTCTTTGTGAGCTTAAAAAGAAACATGACTTGCAGACGTGCTTTAAGGGTTAACAGGGGGTTTTCTTCTTTCTTTATGAAAGTGCCGATTTCTTGAGAATCTGCACTTTTCTAAAGCTCTTAGGTTTTACTCTCCTGGCTGTTAATCAGACTATTTCTGACATGCTTTGAGTATTCAATGAGAGTTATGAGAGTATTGCTTTACGTGGGCCCTGCTCATCTATGTGAAACATTGATTTGTGAGTATCTCCTGGAGGGGAAGCAAAGCTGCAGCAAGGGATTCCTCTCATGACTCAAATGGAGGAAACCTTAAATATATTATTTATTTTAGGAGAGGGGGATACAATGCACTTTACAACACTCCAGCATTATCAATGTATTTATTTATAATGCTGGAATGTCCCTTTTAAACAGTCTGACTTTTTGAAAGCTCGCTGTTCGGCACAGTGCACAATTTTGAAATGTTCTGTGCATGTGTATAAATCACTCCCTGGTAAACTTCAGTTACATGAGAATTACATTTTGTTCTCTGGTTCCTTATTTACTAATGCTTTAATTTAATGGATTCGTAAACACAAGTAGACTCCAGAAAAACAAATCGTGACGTTAAAATAAGACTGCATCAAAAAAAAGCAACAAACACACATTGGAAAACGCTCACCCAGTCACAAGCAGGGGAGTCCTAGAGCGGCGGAGGTTAATCCCAATACTACAGATTAGGCATAAGGGTGCATTCGCCTGCTGACACTGTTCCAACATGTAGGCATGTCTGTAATTTGTTAATCCGCGAAAATGTTTCGTCTATTTAAAAAATGATCACACTGCAAACTTAACCTAAAGTAATTGAAGCAAAAAGGAAAATCATATTTCCAGTGCAGCCGCCTAACCCGTTCCCTGCTACATGGCACTTAATCTTGGGCATAAAATGCGAACATACTGCTGGGATATTTAAACACTCAACCTAACGGTTAGTTAATTGTAATTGTTGTTCTGGTGACTATAGTGTCCCTTTAATATAAGCATAATAATGAATTAAAGATAATCAGCAGAAAAAAGAAAGACTGGCCTGGGAAAATGCGCAATTGAAAACTAATAACATTGAAGTAAAACATTGCCTAAATGGTGACTTCAATGTAGCAATCAAAAACTGGCTACATATTGTTACAATTAACCACATACATGAATCAAATCTTATAAAGAAACTTTGTATGGTTTGTAACTTAAATGTTACAAATCACTGTGTGAAGTTCAAGAACATGTCAATAAATAAAAAATAGGATTCCGATCTAGTTAAATATAATTTATGTTCTATTGGTTTTATTTTTTTAATCAAGAAAGCTGTTTTTCGTGAAGTGCCTAAAATGCCTTCCTTAGTATCCATTGAAAATTTAAAAGCCTAATTTGTAGAAATAAAGAGTTCATCAATAGCGATACCTAAAAATTGTCAATAGACCTCCCCGTAGGAAAGCATTATTCAATGCTTTTCTATGGGGATTACGGCGGGGCTGGAGGTCCTCATGCAGAACGTGAGGATGTCCAGTGTTGTTTAAAACACTTTTTGTGTTTTTAAGAACCCGGACCTCCCTCTAGTGGCTGTCTGATAGACAGCCACTAGAAGAGGACTTAACCCTGCAAGGTAATTATTGCAGTTTATAAAAACTTGCAGGGTTAAGGGTGATGGAAGTTGGTCTGGGTGCCTGGAGTGTCCCTTTAAGTAAAACTGGAACATACTTTTTGAAATAAAATAACTTATTTGCCTCAGGTGTTTTATCTTTCAGGAGGGTTGATCTATCTGTATCAAAGCACGTTGAAAAGTTTTATCTAAAGCAGATTTGAAATAACCTCTATCCTTAAATGTTTGCCTGAATGATGCAATTTAATAATTTCCGACAGTCGCAAAAAGTGTCCTATTGGGATGTTCTTAGTCTGGTGATGTGGATGGCTAGATGTAACTAGCAATAAATTGTTGCCAGAGCACTGTTTCCGAAACAGTGTGGTTTGAATAGTTATCACCACGTGTACTGTGCAATAAGTCTAAAAAAAGGGAACTTCAACCTGATCAAAACTAGATGTGAATTTTAAATAGTATCCACTGAATTGATGTGGATGGACAATAGATCCACCCCAAATTATCAAGAGTTCCTCAATATGACACTTCTATAAAATTATATCCGAGTTATGGGTGAAAGTGCCTCTAAAGATGCTGGACCATTCCCACCACCTCAGAGATGGCTTTTTGTTTTTTAACACTTATTTGGTGTTTTTTATGCTATTTTAAAATCGAATTTTTCACTTTATTAGCTGTAGGCTAAGAATCTTTTTTGGGGATTCAATTATTTATTAATGCCTATATTCTTATGTCAGCAGTTCCAGTAGTAACTCAGGCATCCGGAAAGAAGAATGTCCACCCCCCTCTGATGGATTTATTACCTCATTTCCACGAGCACCAAGCACTTCCGATTCAGTACGGATAAAATGTAGGGAGCTATTGGCTACAGCTCTCAAAACAGGAGGTATGACAATGAAAAGTATAAACAGGTGTTTATATTAGTCACCTTTCTTTTATCCTTAATGCAGAATGTCAAAAAACATTTTATATGTTTCGTTTTTCTTCTGTCAATAGATGTTTTTATACTTGAACATTAAGCTTTAGCGTAATTAAGTGGTTTTGGTGTATAAATCATGCCCCTGCAGTCTCATTGTTTGATTCTCAACCATTTATGGGTTTACAGAAAAAAAATCTCTGTAAAACTCACTCCACTAAAATCCAGTGCCAATGAACTTGCCTGCTAGGTATAGATCTCTTTTCTGTCCCCCTGGTCATCAGAGCTGATAGTCAGCATTTTTTTTCCACCCCTGCACCATATTATTTGTACTCAAGGCACCAATTGTTAGATCATTTCAGAGATGCTAAATCTACCATGACCCACACCGGTAATCCTGTTTACAATTGTTAATAACCCTATAATGGTGCACTGTGTTCTGACCTCCTATTGTGTTTTCTTCTTTATCTTAGATGACTACATTACTATTGGTGCAGATGATCAGGAGTTGGGGGCTCAGATCGAGGAAGATATCCTTTTTTTCTTCCTTCCTTCCTTTTTTCTTTCTTTTTTTTCCTCATTGATGTTTCAATTAAGAAAGTGACCCCAAACCTGTATAACACTCATACCAGTGATGGCCAAAGGTTTTTTTTATTAGATTCTAATGCACATCCATAAACATTTTAAATAAAGCTGAATTAGTCTATTGTTGTAGTACTGGTAGTGTTATTGATATTTGTAACTGAAAGCTACTTGGCTATGCACTGCATGTACAGCAATGACAAATAATGTCATCGCTGTATGTTCATGCAGCAAACAGACAAAAGAGTGATTTTGGGTTAGACAGCTGATGATTTCCATTCAAGACCACTCAGAATTGCTGCCCATATTGTGTGAAGAGGTGAAGGTAGCAGATGCAGTATCTGCTTAAGTTTTAGTAGACATATTTTTTATAAAATACTAGAAAGAAAGCTGACATTTTTGATACAATATTTAAGAATACTGTTGTGGGCAGCAGTAGGTGCTGTTAACAAGATGATATTTAAACCTTTCCACATTGCATACACTCTTGTACGAAGCCTCTTATTTCACCCCGCACATTAATGTGGACCTGTACTTGGTGAATTGCATTAGTCACCTGAAACGGCTAGATTCACTTCTGCCATTCATATTCTCTACGTAAGCGTAGCTTCCATATGCAACATTACAAGCAATAATTACATGTGTCAGAGGGTCATGGTATTTCATGTAGTTAATATAACACTGGAAAACCTACAGTATGCCTACACTCCTGCTAGACCTTTTGTGCTACTATTCTGAATTTACTTTCCTGAGGTTAGCATGTTTCCTTAAGTCCTCTGCACCAGTGTTCCAAGAGTTTAAAAACACAGACGCAAAATACAAAAACAGAGTGCGAAGCAGAATTGCAAACCTCAAAGATGCAAAGAACCCAAATCTGAGAAGAAATGTGCTATGTGGCAACATAGCTCCTGATGTATTTGCTAGAATGTCTGCAGAGGTACGTGTTTATTATAATTTTTTTTTCTGTACAGTTGCTCCAACTCTTTTGCATGTAAAAGGAGTCAACAAAATGCTTCCTACTCAGTAATCGTTTGTTAAAACGTATCTGAAATCATGTCACTTTGATCCCACAGCAGCTGGAGCACACTGTACTGTCTTCTCCCCAGAGGCCATAGCCTGCCCTCAAATTCTCAGTAGGGACTTGATGTAAATGTTCCAATGACGTCAGATGCATTAATTGCAGACTGCTATAAACATTCAGCCTTTCTGACCACTTTGTCTGCATAGACTGTATTTTAAAGTCTTTTTAAATTGAATCCAGTGACATTGACTGTACGTTCTTCTGTAGTAGCCTTCTAATTTTCACTGATAAATCTAGAGTAATAGGTAACAAGGAGGCTCTCCATCAAGGAGTCGAAATAGCAGTAATGGAATGCCCACTCAAGGTTCTCCCTAGTATAAAGAAAGTATAAATCTAGAACAGCTACCTTCTAGGCTTCAGTCAAAAGTTGGCAATGTTTAAATGAATTAATGAAATTAATAAAAATAGGAATGGCAAAATTTAAGACCGCCCAGTTGGAGTTCTGGATTTATTATTGTTTATTTTTTATTATTTCTAATCTGTAAGGGTTACAGTTGTTAGCATGCTTGTAAAGACTAACTTGAAAGTATATATTGCTTTAACTTTTACTCAATTCTTGCACTTGACAATTTTATCTCACCGACTGTAGACATAACTTGATACATTTAAGGATGGAGGCTTTTTTTCTCTTTGTTCTTGTATGATTTGTGAGGAAACTGCATCTCTAATAAGATATTTAGATTTGATATTTTTGCTTACACAATCTCTAGGAAATGGCAAGTGATGAATTAAAAGAAATGCGCAAAAACTTGACCAAGGAAGCAATCCGAGAGCATCAAATGGCACGGACTGGAGGCACAGAGACTGATCTGTTTAGTTGTGGCAAATGCAAGAAGAAGAATTGTACTTACACACAGGCAAGTGCACCATTGTAGTCAGCACCTGCCAATTGCAGCTGCATAAAATTAAAATGATCTCAACTTGAGTTGCATATTTGGATGTGAATCTGGCATAACCTCTCCCAATGTGGCATATAAACACACTTGACACTATCTATGTTTTGCATTAATTTTGGTCCTACAAATCTCTGCTTATTTATATGGTTATGGTATAGGGAAGTTGGAGTAAGTTTTAGAATGCTCAAAAGGGGAATTTTATTCACTCGTCCGAAGTTGAATTTCAAGTTTAAGACCAACATAGCTAACTTTTTTCCAGTTCAGCCATTTTCACCTTAAATTGAAATTCACTTTTTAATTCACACCTTAGTGAATAACCCTGTCGGTTTCTTCAAAGTAGGTAGTTTTCCTTGTATCGCTTTAATTTTTCTTGAATCAGATATTTCATTGATAATATATTTGTGCAAAATTTTGAATTCTAGCAATTGTTAAAAATAAACATTTTATATCTTTGAATCTCAGGTTCAGACACGCAGTGCTGATGAACCTATGACGACGTTTGTTTTCTGTAATGAATGTGGAAACCGGTGGAAGGTAAGAATTTTTATTGCATACTTACAATGTTATTAAATTAAATACTCAATCAACCAACTTAGAAATATCACCAGTGGAGAATGAAATAAAAAGGCACAATTACCCTTTTAAATTCAAAGGATTTAAGAGAGTAATATATTCCTCCAAATCTTTAAGACTGAATAAAAGTTGGGAGTGGGAAATATATATGATTGCACTCGCAGAATATAAAAGGGAGTAGGCATATCTACCAACCATGGGTACAATCAGTATTTCCAGGTTTTTTTTCTGAGAAGATTTTTCTAATTGTGCATGCACAGAAAAAGAATGGTGAAACCTAGTATGTACCCTTTTATAAACAAGAAACCTTTAATAAAATTGCACTTAAAAGAATAAACGACTATCACCAATAACTGGTATCTTCAATGGGAGCAGGTGTCCATCAGGAAATAGCCCTATGCATTTCAGTCTGCACATGCCTAGCCTTGGGGGCAACAGATTCAATGTAGTGAGAGTACAAGCGATGCAAAATCACACCCTAACCAACTTTTTTTTTTTTTAAATATCCTAAAAGTCCTTTCAATAAGAGATTCATCTTGTGCATGCCAGCATGGGCCTGCTTTTATTCGCTTCCACTTTTGTTTTCATGCCTTTTGGTACGTTGAACTACAGAAGATGCTGTTTCTATGGTTCCACCTTCAAACTCAGGCAGCACAGTAGTACAATATATAAACATAAAAAGTGAGCAGATAGAGTGAAAAGGCAGAATGGAAAAAGGAGAGAGATTGGATTCACAGCAACATAATCATGAAAAACAATAAGAATGAACAAATGACAATAAAATAGAAAAGGTTTTTGTTTTTTTGTTTTTTTCAAAAGGAAGAATTAAAAATTTCAATTGATAGTGAAAAATATAAAAATGAATAAAAGAATATAATTTAATATTCTTTGATATAAATTAGAAATAGAAAATAAAGCCATGACCAAAATTGTTTAATTAAATATATATTTATATTTTGGAGGTGGTGGGGGGGGATAGTTTTTATTAAGCAATTAAATAGTGGTTTACCTGAGTGCTATATTCTAATAGGGGGTTATCAATATGCAAATACATTTGAACTAGTTTGGTGCAGGGGGCAGGATCTTGGAAATAGATGGATGATACAATACACCTGTCATCCATCTTGCATCTATCACACCTTTGTGAATCAATGTCGAGACCAATTTATGGATATCTCTCCGAGCATCTCTACCACTTTTCCATCTTACCTGTTTTAGTCTCTTTGGTCTTTCTGTCTTCTTTTTTCATTTACCCTCCCTCCCTGTGTCTCTAGTTCTGTCTTAGTCTTTAGAAGACCTTTATTAGTTAAAATAAACATGAGATGCGAGAGACCCAAAAAGAGAGAAGTTCAGATGCACACTTTGAAGAATCCAAGAGATAAAAAATAGGCCCATCAGAGATAAAATGGAACAAAAAATAGACTGATGAGATGGAACAGTCTTTTTTTTTTTTTGTGATTAATTTGCCCTCCTCCCTTAGGTTATCGATCTCTCCATCATGTGTCAGTTTTCCTATATTTTCTTGAAATCTGTCTCCCAATTTTTGTTGCATCTAATATGAGATGCAACAAAATTGTGAGTTGTCTTTTTCCCTTTTTTTTTAATATTTAACAGTATATTTACAGGTTTTCCTATTTTATTGTACTTTCTTGAGATCCATGTATTTTATCACATTATTGCATACATTAAGCCCCTCTTTCCTACCTTTTGTTCCTCTCATCCCTTTTCTCAGTTTAACCTCTGTCAGTGTGTCTGCCTTTCCATTTTTCCTATTCTCTCTTTTATTGTATCATTGTCAGCTCCCTTTTTTTCTTGGTATCTCCATACCCAGCACTATACCGATCTTTCTCTTGGCTCCCCTGTGTCTATCTGATACCCTCTTCAGTCGCTCTGATGCCCAATTTGTTTCCAATTATTTCTTTTTATGCATTTGTTTCAGTCCTCCACTCATTTATGAGTCCCCCACCATCTGGTGATGTCACAACTGCCCCTCACCTTTGTCTTTGTTTTTAATAGTGTTTCTTACTTTACATCAGTCCCATTGCACTTGCCATATTCTCTTGCTTTGTTGGTGCCCAACCCGAGGAAACCTGGATGGATAATTTATTGTTGCCCCTGCTACTTTGCACTCTAGAAGGGCCTTGTGAGATCACATTTATATTCCAGCTTGAGGCAAATCTGAACATCATGAGGGTGTGGACACTTGGGTAACCGGGTGGATTTAATGTTCAGTTTTCACACTTTTTAAGCCTCAGGAGATTTGGGAATTGTAGTTCCCAGATCTCATTGCTATGTACACAGTGTACAGATAGATCATGTTTGTTTTTCTTATCTAAATAAAAATTTTCAAGCGACAGAATATTAAACTGCCTTTGTAAATAATGTATCTGATATACCTCCGCGCAATCATTTGAGACTGCAAATCTTCTGTGGCTTGAACTCTGCCATACAGGGTTTCATATCCTTAAAACCTCTCAGACTCTGCCCAGCTGCATCACAAACTATTAAAACCGCCCTATTTAGATAACTTTAAGTTGTTGTTGCTGTTGTAGACCTTCAACTCCCATGATGGATGGACTGTGAGTTAATTATCTTATGGTAACTGTAGTTGCATAGCAGCTGGAGTGCTGTGGTTTATGCAACCGTTATCTTATTCTTTAGAAGTCCTATCTCATCATTGTAGTTGATGTTAAGGGGTCTCTCTATTCAATAAAAAACAAACAGCCACTGAATGCTGTTCTATTGTTGAGCCAAATTATATCAAGCCAAACTTATATTGTAAGTATTTTGTGAATAGGCCCTGAAGTGTGCGATCAATGTGCTTGTAGAAGTTCTTACAATGTGTATCCTCTAGTTTTAATAGATGCATTTTCATGTATATTTTTTCTTTTTCTGTTTTTCAGTTTTGCTGAAAGGATACTGTTGCAACCTCTTTCGTGACCTGGAAGAGACTTTTTTTGTAATTTGGTAAATCAAGTAGTTTTCTGAAAAGAGAATTTTTTAAAACATGGATTCAAACCACATGGATATTTTTGGGGTTTTATGTCACAATCACTAGTAAATAAATAAATCTTCCTTTTCCCAAAAGGAAGAGAGAGCCCCAATTTTTATGGTGCGTGCAGATGGGTTTAATTTTTATAACTGTCACCATTAAACTTTTACCAATAATGCTATGGCAAATGTTTTTTTTTTTTTTTTTTCCTTGAGTGTACTAAACAAATGTTGTTATTCCTGAAATAAAATAGAAAGGTGTTTTTGCACCAAGGGATATACCGCTGCATTGTAATGATATTTGAATTCTGGGAAGTGTCTGTAAATTAATGGAAGATGATTATTGCTGTTAATAATTTTGCAGCTGGTAATTTCCTCTACCCTCCCAAATATTGCATCAAGCAGCTTATCATTCCAGCTAAATTTAAATTCTTACCCCCTTAATTCTACATTGTCCTATTTAACTGGAATATATTCTTGCTTGAAGCAGATGTCATTTTCATTTTCCCTTATAACAAACATACTAAGGAAGTATACTCCAGTTTTTAAATCCAGTTTAAGAATATTATGTAAACTCGTGATTTTTTTTTTTTTTGTATGCCGCTCCTCCTCATCAATACTTTTCAGCAAGTGTTATGACCATTTTTACTTTATAGTTTCTCAAAAGATGTACATGAAATGTTTTTATATTTTATTTAAATAACGGTCTTGATAAAATGTGCAAGACACTTACAAAAGCATGCAAGACAGTGAAAAGAAATGCTACTTATGTTGGAACTGCAAACCAAAGAATGTGAGAGTGTACCCTTGGCCATGCTGGTGGGGCCAAGTGCTTTTTAAATCCCATAACAGGGCATGCAAATTGTCTGTGGGTGTACTGGCCATCTATGATTCTCTGCAGTACTTTGCTCCATGGTTAGTAATTCCCAAAATGGTAGCCTATTCATATACCCATGCTACGCAGTCTTCAGGTTCCATGGCAATACACAACTTTGCCTATATCTGATCGATTTAAGTGTAACTTGTAAACCTGTTAGGAACCACTCATAAAATGACCCATTCCAAACTGAGAACAAGTATGTTTTGTTTTTGTTTTGTTCCCTAGTTTTTTTGTCTTTACTTTTTTTTTTTGTTAATTTGGTGTTTCATATGCTCTAAATGTAACTTTATTAAAATGATCACAAAGACCTCTGCAGTTTGCACATTGTTCTGCTTTTATTATCACTTGTCTATATACTTTATCACTTCCTGCTTTTATTAAGTTTGTGGTTTGCAAATCCTTATGTCCTTTATGTCTCACAGATGTATTTTTAAAGGGTTACTCCAACCAAAAAAAAAAGTGTTTTAAGAAAACCTACTAGTTTTTATTAGAGTAACACTTCCTACCTTCCCATCCTCCCCCCTTTCCCTGGGCCCAGTCCTCCTCCTGCTGATGTCACTCCCATTAGTTGCTGTTGGAGTAACATTGGGGTATGATAGATGTAGGAAGGACATGGGTTGCAGTCCTTTTTATCCAGGCTGGCTAATTACATCACGATGATGCTGCTTGAGGTGGAGTTACACCTCTGGCAGCAGACAGGTTAATCTCTGTATGTGCGGTGTTTCATAGCGAAACATTGCACACACAAATTTTTTTTTTAATTCTCCAAAGTAAATTAGTGTTACTAAATTTGATTACATTTTTTGCAACTTATTCACATTCTTATGAAACCAGGAGAGGCCATGTATCTTGATTAAAAAAAAAAAAAAAAAATGAATAAAATATATCATATAAACATAAACACTGGTTCCACATTCCTACTGTAATTCCAAAAAGAAGTTATTCACTAAACTGTGAATCAAAATGGAAACTCTAATTTTAGCCCAGAATAGCAGAGTTGGGAAAGTGGTGGCATTGGATATTTTTTCCATCTGAACTTCTTATCACTTTCAAAAGCTCTCTAATTTCTGAGAAAGCCCCAAGAGTGTATTCTGGAGGGACTGGAAATATGATTTATTGACCTGATTTTCTGTAATTCCTTAATCTTAAAATGAACATCAAACTGAGACCAAAATATTAAAACTGATGGTGTTTTATTCTTGTTATATTTACTGTTTTGTAAAGTGTAGCTTTGCTTCGTCTCTAAATAAGAAGTAATGCAAGCTTTACAAATGTTTTCTCTATTGAAGTGTACCTGTTGAAACAAATATAACTTCATCTTGAATCACGTTTTTTTTTTTGTTTTGTTTTTTTTTTTTATACATTGTGCTAGCAGAATTGCAGACTCCCTTCCTGTCAGTCATTTTAGTCTGTGCTTATCCTGTATATGTGATATGTCTGTTATAAGTGGAACCCTTCTCTGGGTGTCTCTCCTGTTTTAATTCAGTCTAAGGGAAATAAATACCTGCAAGTGGAAGTAGGAAGGAGGGGCAGGCTCTGAGTGAGTGCAACAGCATGGAGAGAGGAGAGAAACAGCCTTGATTTATTGCAGCAACTTTGGACAGGCATCTGAGAAAGAGAGATAACAGATGAGTTTTAGTTACAAAAAGTCATCCTAAAGTGTTGGGGATTTTAACCTGTTATGGTGAGTAAGTCTGTGCTTCCAAAACAGGGAGTTACAGAAAGTGTAACACCCACTGAAAATATTGGTCTCCGCAGAAATGGAAAAAAATTAAAGGGACACTAGGCACTACAACTTTTTCTTATTGAAGTTGTTATATTGCCTGCAGTCCTTCCCCCTTATCCTACCCCCCAAGAGCCAATATCAAACTAATTGGAAAGCTTGGAAGTGCTCCTTCAAACCCTCTGAGTATGAGGGCCGGGAATCTTAATTCCCGGTTTTAATACAGTGACATCACGTTATAAAATGATTCTTTAAGGAAGAATTGTAGGTGCACTGCACATTCACCTACATTCCCCAATGAGGAACATTAGATTGGCTGGAAAAAAGGTGAGTAAATTGTTAATTTTTTTTTTTTTAAATTTATTATTTTAGTGCAGATGGGACCCCCCCACCCATCTGCACAAAAATGAGATTTAAAAAAAGTGAGGACTGTAGTATTAGAAATACAGATACGTATTCCTAACACTACAGTGTTCCTTTAATATCTGAGCTTTTTAAAGTATTTAGGGAAGAAACACTAAATTGTATAACATGAGTCAAGCCAGATTAGAAAACTGCAAACGTATACCTGGCATGACAGGTTCACTTTAAAGCAACAAATCTATAAAAACATTTCCAACATCATTGAGTTTAAAAAAGGTTTTACATAAAAGTTATATAGTTTGATTCATTTGGGAATGCAACTTATTTTTCTAGGTAGATTTGGCAATCTTCAGTGGTGATGGAATTTTTAAGTACTCTGACTATTACAGATTTAAAAAGTGTCGAAATTGTGTGATGTTAACAGCTAATCATAATCTAATTTGCTTATGAATTTACAGCATGCATGTCAAACTTGAGGCCCACAATGAATATATTTGCGGCCTGTCTGCCGCTTTGTGCTGTGGTATATATATATATATATATATATATATATATATAATATATATATCTATATCTATATATCCTGTCTGATTCTTGCCTTCCCTCCCATGGCCACAAGAGTGCAGAGTAGGTCAGCCACTCCCCCTTCCCTCCTGTTCGCAGTGCCAGAGGAGCGTCTGGCCTGCTTGCAGAGAAGAGCTGGAACTGGAGGACAGGCGGCTCGTCTTACGGTAGGAGAAGAGGGGCTTGGGGGACCTTCCTGTGTAGTGTTTAATTGGGGGTGGGGTGCAGTGTATTAATTTAGGGGTGGGAGGGGGCAGTAAATTAAATTGGGTAGGGTGAGGCCAGTGTATTAAATGGGAGCAGGGAGTGGGGACTGTGTATTAGATTGGATTTGGGTAAATGTATTGGGTTTGTGGGCAGTGTATTAAATTGGGTCTGCATGGAGGCGCTGAACGCTCCCCATGGAGATGCGGATTAGTCGCACAGCTTTTTGCCACACATGCACAATAGCCTCCCAATGCTTTCCTGTGGGAAAGCATTTGATTGGCTGAGATCATAAAGTGTGATGATCTCCGCCACACTCATAGGACTTAAAAATCAACAAGATAACGTAATTTGTTTTCTTACAACTGTGCAACAGCATACATTCACCATTACCAAACTTTTCTTAATATGTCAAGGTAGTTTGACTGAAACATTGGTTATATGCAAATGCTCGTTTCCTTAAAATAAATCCGCTCTTTTGTTTACTTTGAAGCCCTACAAGCGTGAGAACGTCCAGTGTCCGGCAACTTTTATATTTATGTATATGTAGAAAGGCCATTAGGCCTGAATTTGTGGGAGGAGTAAGTCCCCTACTTAAACGCCAAGCCCCTACTCACCGCTGCCGCTCAGCTGATTGTCCAGCACTTCCGGTCCAGCTTCCCGCCAGAACTGTACCTGTTTTCCAGCAGCCAGACGCATGGTTCAATCCTCCGTCCGTCCGAGGTCCATCCACTCTGTTTTCTCCCCGGTCAGGGTACCCGACTTCCGGTCACGAGACCGGCACGTTCACGTAAGCAAGGCGTGGGAATTAGCGTTCGCTATTCCCCGCCGTTCGGGCCTAAAAACGTAGGGGTAGGCTCCCTCTTTCGCATTTACACGAATACATGCTTTTTCGTCTAAATCGCCATTCATGCCAAAAAACGCACGAACGTTCGGCTCATTTCACTATCGTTAAGCATATTCGTACGGAAACTACCGAATATATATTTAATGTTTTAAGCTCAGTATTATCTGTATTCCCTTTTTTCCGTTCGGTCATTTCAGCACCAACCTATTCGTATGGTTAAATACACGAACACCGTCTTACTAATTTACATTCGGTTATTTCTATTCTTTCAAGCTAAGCATGCATAAGTTCTAATCACACAAATTCTACTATTATTTTATTCCTTCACATCAGTTTGTGGTTATACTATCTGTTTTTACTACCAGCATGGTGTTTTCCTACCTTTGATAAAACGATTAACGTATTTTTCTGTAAATAAACATACTGTTTTACCGTGGTTCATAACTTCATACGTGTCTAAATGCCAGCTATACCATTCTTTCCAAATAACACTCAGTTATAAGTCATTTAAACACTACTCATAAGTAATACCCATTACACATAATCCGTACTATTCCTTTCACATAAATCACGCTGTCACATTTTGGCTTTTACAGATTGCATCGGTCTCTTGCTTTTCTGCATTAAAGTTATTTCAAGGTCCTTTTATTACAGGAACAGGTATGGTATATTATCACTTTGAGTTATCAGGTTTTTATCATTTACCTTCACATCTATCGCTAAATATGGAAATTGTCTTGGTTAAACCCTTAGATCCTGTATTAGTCTAAGCTTCCACCGTTTCTACGCAGTTAACCTGCCACGATTAAACATAATCTCTGTACTTCAAAACCAAGGTATAGTTCACTCTCTTTTCAATACTAGACCTCACGCGGTCTCAACTCCATTACTACCTTTCCTCAGGCTTACGCCCAAGATACGTTATCTCTTTACTACTTGTCTACACAGACTTTCGGTCATACGGCCATCAGGCTCAGAAGACACCAATAAACCTGACCCGGTACTCAGCCATACCTTCAGGTACTTACGTCCTTACTCAAGTACGTCCATTCGCTACCCCAAGGCCTCATTCTGCCTTCTCACTCATATCTAAAATCATCCTATTCCTACACCTAAACCTCTCAGATCCCTCAATGCAGGATCTCACGTGGCGCCCCTAACAAACCTTCTCCCAATACTATTCATACGACATCACGATACGTATAAACACATCAACATCTGTCTTAAACCCCCAGGATTCTTCCTCAAAGACAGCATTAAGACAAGACTCTCTACACTTATCAGGAGGCTCCAGATACCATTTGCGACCAGTCAAGGTTAGTATCCACACACCACTCCAGTCCTCTCACTTTACCCTTAAGCATACAATCGAACTGGCTATAGGGCACAGGCTAATGCCTTAGCCCACCCTATCAGGAAATCCGATCCCACGAGGCCTATCACCCCCACCCCACCTCAACACAGAGGTACGGCCCCACGCCCAAACCATAGTTAAGCCTCGCATGCCCTACTACAGGGCTCTAGTTAGGGCCTCACCTGTCACGGCCACACGTTTTGATTTCTCTTATCGTCACCGAGAGGCCAACATCCCGACACCACGTCTGTGGCACCTACGTCATAAGCCAAATCATAGGTAGAGCCTCTCACCGCCACTTGGCATTAGCAGGGCCTCACCTATCCAGTCATTCAATAGTTACGTTTTTCGCCTCGGCATCTAGCATTACAGTCCAGTTCTTTCAGATACACCACTCCCCATACCCCCCCTACTTACCTCACTCCCCTTCTAATATATCTTTCACATAATCATTCCTTTTTAGAATGTCCCAAGAACCAATTCCAACCGAAGAACTGACAGAAGAAACACCATTCACGCCAATCAGACCCGTGTCTCCAGGCGAATCACTCACTCTTTCAACCCCCACGTCCTTGAGAGCATGGACTATTCCCAAAATCACGGCCGAGCTTAGGCTCAGGGGAATCCCCTTTCCGGCCACAGCTAGAAAGGCAGAACTTTACAGGCTGCTTACCCACCAAGTCCCTGAGCCTAGGCCGGGAACTAGCTCTCAAGGACAACCACCAAGAAACAGCACGGCCACCCAGGATACCCTGGCAGATATCTTGGCCAATCTACAGACCCTCAATAGCAGGCTGTCTAAGGTGGAGAGCGCCATCTCCTCCTCAGGTACTAACACCGTAGTCCCAGTCTATACCACGGCTGCACCTGCCATACCTACTTGCCCCTCTATACTCCCCCCTCCAGCACCTGGCACAGCCATCACACCATTCGAGTCACCAGCACACTCCATCCCAGACTCTATCAGGAAAGATATCCTAGACGGGAAGGATGTGTGTCTGGTGTCTTTACTCATAGCCTCTCAGGATATACTCGAGAACAAGGCATACAGCTATGGTGACATTTCAGTTGTGCTCAAAACGAGGGATCCCAGGCTCAATAAAAAATTGTCTATCCCACAGTTTGTGATAGCTTTTGGGATATACCGCGACGTCATTTGCACGGTGTATCCCCATAGGAGAGAAGAGCTAGATCTCTATCTCCACAAGGTAGTGGATCTAGGCATCAAGTACGGGGGCTCTTCCTTCTATGACTACCACAAGTCAGTTTCGGCGAAGGCGGCGACCCATCTCAAGCAGTTCAACGTTAGAATGAACTGGGGTCAGATGGACACAGAACTTTTCTGTCGCCACTTCGCTGGACTCAGGCCCCCGGCTTGTGCCATCTGTAATTCTACATCCCACATGGCAGACTTATGTCCCGTCGAATCAGATCCCACCACCTCCACTCCCACCCCTCACCCCACGTTCACACCTCACTCCTCTTTCACCCCTCACAACAAGCCAGTGGGTGGTCTTCGGGATAAGCTGGGTAGGCCCATCTCCTTTTTAGGTAAAGCGCAGGTGTGCAATAATTTTAACGCAGGCTCCTGCAGTTTCAGCGCCTGTAGATTATTGCACATCTGCTCCATATGTTTCAGGGCACATACCAAGACCATGTGTCCAGCCAGGTTGTCACCAAACAAATGACTAACCGACATAAATATCGACAACCTGGTTTTTTATCTAAGGTCTCACCCCAGCAGGCACTTGGTGGATTTTCTCACCACAGGTTTCTCACAAGGGTTTCACACAGACATAGTAGCCATTCCCCCAGGTACACTAGAATGTCCCAATCTCCAGTCTGCACGTTTAGACCCAGTCGCTGTAGACACTCTCATTTCCGCAGAAACCACTAACGGTTTCATGATCGGTCCCTTCACCTCTTCACCGTTTTCCTCCTGGCGCACTAACCCTTTTGGTATTGCTATTCACAAATATTCTAATAAAAAATGTCTTATTATCGATTTATCGGCACCGCACTCCTCTTTTGTTCCAAGCATAAACGCACTCATTCCAGCAGACGAATTCTCACTTCAGTATGTTACCATCGACGACGCCATACAGTCCATCATTACATCTGGTAATCGACCCTGGCTCAGCAAAACAGACATCACTAACGCATTTAAATTACTGCCCATACACCCCTCACTCTGGCACTTACACGGTGTTAAATGGCGAGGGAATTATTACTTCTCAACCGACTCACTTTCGGTTCTCGAAGCAGCCCCAAACTTTTCGACATTTTCGCAGAATCACTATGCTGGCTGCTTCTGAACGTCATCAGGTGTCACTCTGTTATTCACTATCTAGACGACTTTCTACTTATAGAGCCAGGGTCATCAACACCCACGGCAATCAAAAGTACTACTGCACTATTTTCCACACTTGGAGTCCCTTTGTCCCCAGCCAAAACTATAGGACCCACAACAAAGTTGACCTTTTTAGGCATAGAGCTCGACTCTGTCAAACTCAGAGCTAGCCTTCCCGACGACAAACTTTCACGATTGAGAGGGGAGATAGACACGTTCCTGCGGAATGACGTTTGCACCAGGAGAGAACTTCAGTCCCTTCTCGGATCTCTGAACTTCGCCATGCGCATCATTCCGCAGGGAAGGTCTTTCATATCCAGACTTCTTTGCCTGCTCCACGGAGTCCCGGACTCCGGCACAGTTTCTTTGGACCCCCACGCCAAGGCTGACTTAGCTATGTGGGGGAAGTTTTTGAAAGACTGGAATGGTATCTCCATGTTTATCCCCCCTCTCTCCACCTCTTCACCCATCATCCACACAGACGCAGCAGCCAACACCGGTTTCGCAGCCATTTTCGGGAACCACTGGTTTAGGGGCCACTGGCCCACTGAGACGGATGCCTTGCCAGGATTCAGGGAGACCTCAGCCCTATTTGAAATTTACCCCATTGTGGCGGCCGCACACACCTGGGGTCATCTCTGGTCCGGCAAGGCAGTAAAATGCTACTCAGATAACTCGGCAGCTTGCGATATCATTAACAAAGGGCGCTCATCATCCCTGACCATCATGCGGCTGATTCGCAAGTTGACCTGGCTGGCAGCATCCGGTCAGTTTCACTTAGTATGTTCTCACATCCCGGGTATTCACAACACCGCCGCTGACGCTCTTTCTCGTTCTCGATTCCAGGCATTTTCTCAGGCACTCCCAACGGCTCACCAACAGCCATCCAGGACACCACGGTTTCACGAACTAATATTGGATTAAGCACACTCTTGCTTCACGCTAGATCACTCACTCACCAAGCATTATCACCCAACACTGCTATCACTTACAATAGGGCACTTAACATATTTAACAAATTCACTGCAGAATTCGGGCTACAAGGTGACTTTTCTATCCAAACCATGGTGTCTTTTGCCTCTTTCTGCCACCTACACCTTAATCTATCGCACAACACCATTAAACTTTACCTCACCGGGGTTCAGCACCACAGCCTCACCAATTTTCCTAACAGCACTCCTTTTTTGTCTTCATACCCCATTAAAAAGGTCTTGAAAGGTATATCAAAGATTTCACCTCCACTCACAAGCACTAGATTACCCATAGACGGGCCTATCTTCAGGTCACTTAGCAATCTCCTTGACACAGCCCCATTTGATAGCAACACCAATACGGTGATCAAATCTGCTATATATCTCGCTTTCTATGGTTTTCTCAGACCTAGAGAGTTCACCGTGGTTTGTCAAGGAGATATCGCGCTAAGCCTTAAAACTTCACACCTCACCAAGATAGAGGATCACTACCTACTTTCTATCCCTACCACTAAAACCAACCGGTCAATACACCCTACAATAATTCCTCTCTTCCCTACTGATAATGCCTGGTGTCCGGTGAAAGTTCTCGACCAACTACGGTCAACTCTTCACGCTCACCTGCCAGACTCTCCGCTCTTAACATTACAAGGGCACCCGCTTACCACGGCAAAATGTATGTTACACGTGAGAACCCTGTTATCTAAGCTCGGACACAACCCGGCCGCATTCTCCAGGCACTCCTTCCGCATAGGAGCCGCCTCAGCAGCCTCTAGCACAAATGCACCAGTCCACATCATCAAAAGGCTGGGGCGATGGAAATCCTCCATATATAACGCATATATTCCACAACCAGAGAAAGAACTTCGCCAAGCTTTCAGGAACCTGGTCTTGTAAAATGCAATAAAGTGTGTATTTTCTCGAATTTATCTTTTGCCCTCTTTTATTTACAGCGCCACTCGTACGTTGGTTTCGGCACACCACAACCAACTTTGCTCACAGATACTATCCTTTACGTATTTAAATTCCGAGCACAAGTAGAAAGGCCGTTAGGCCTGAATTTGTGGGAGGAGTAAGTCCCCTACTTAAACGCCAAGCCCCTACTCACCGCTGCCGCTCAGCTGATTGTCCCCACCCACCTACACCCTGTTTTAAATACATTATCCTTGGTGGGCCCTCTTTTATTTACAGGCCCACTCGTACGTTGGTTTCGGCACACCACAACCAACTTTGCTCACAGATACTATCCTTTACGTATTTAAATTCCGAGCACAAATATATATATATATATAGTAATTTATTTTTAATAAAATGTTTCTATGAAGACGGAAGTTCTTCTTTTTTTTTTTTTTTTCTTTTTTTTTTTTACGGCCCATATAAACTTAAACCTTGTTTATTTGGCCTGTGTTAGCCTTTGAGCTTGAAATGCTTAGTTTACAGCATTTTAACTGCAGGAATAAAAAAAACCTCAAGAATCCTTTCATTTCCTTATACAATAAAAAGAAACAGCTAGAAATCTGACTTCCCCCTGCTCTCTGGTATACCCTGTTCTCTTAACACTAGGGTTGCCCGTTATGTGAGTTGTCTGGCCGGTGTTGGTAATGCAAAAATACTTGCAATGCAAAGGCTGGTATTTTTCTCTTGGCAAATCTCTAAACCGAAAGTGGGAGAATAGGAGGACCCCACATAAACAAAAATAAATGAACTGATTTTATTGTAATAGTCC